GATAATGGCGGTTATCGAACTTGTCCGAGGTTTCATGGTAATTAACCTTGTTGTGAAGTTTGAAGTTAATCCGTTAATAATTACTCGAGATATCGAGCGGACATCGTTTGCCCGCCCGCCCGCTCACGTGATAACATAATACGTCCCCGTCTTCGCCGGGCGTATAAAAACAATAACAGGTGTAACAGGTGAGGCAACAATAACAGGTGTAACTGGTGCGGCAACAATAACAGGTGTAACTGGTGAGGCAACAATAACAGGTGTAACTGGTGAGGTAACAATAACAGGTATAACTGGTGAGGCAACAATAACAGGTATAACTGGTGCGGCAACAATAACAGGTGTAACTGGTGAGGCAACAATAACAAGTGTAACTGGTGAGGTAACAATAACAGGTGTAACTGGTGAGGCAACAATAACTGGTGAGGCAACAATAACAGGTGTAACTGGCCATGGTGAGGCAACAATAACAGGTGTAACTGGAGAGGCAACAATAACAGGTGTAACTGGTGAGGCAACAATAACAGGTGTAACTGGTGAGGCAACAATAACAGGTGTAACTGGCCATGGTGAGGCAACAATAACAGGTGCACAACCTCTGGACAAGTAGTGTGGACAGACAGACAGACAGACAGACAGGGTGATTACTGTAGGGCACCACTTCTCAGGACCCAAATATAATCTGTTTGTAACATAAATGTATATTTACCTTAAAGGCTGTAGCAGCCTATCTGAAGAATGGCCTTGCTTACATATGAACGTCATGTCCCACAGTGTAACCAATGGCAACACTTTCTCTAAGGTGTACTCCACGACCCATTCCATCTTGTCCAAGGCAAACTTCTGTGAAGATATTTTACTATTATTATACCTCATCTACATAACAGTATGTCTTACATTGATGACATGATGGGAATTACAACATTGTTTCCCTTTCACACTCATAGTTCCTTTATTCAGAACCTCTCTAGAAAAATGAGTGAAAGGCACTACACCTAAGTTCCTAGTGACAACAGCAGATGACAAGACTTATGTTCCAGGGAAGAGAGTGTTATACAAGACTTTAGTGCAGTCATTTGGAGCTGGAAATAAGTATAATTACATTATGGAATGGACCAATGACTTTGGAATATAAGATAATAATTATATGTTGGAAGAAACAAATATTTCCTTCTTCTACAAAGCTACAATGGCTTCAACATAGATTATTTTTCTGTATAACAATAAAGTGTCAGAATCACAACTCTGTACTTCTGTCGAGAAGAAAGAGAAAATACTGTTACATTTGTTTTATGGCAAGATTAGCTATGAACTAGAAACACGGATTATAAATAAAACCTGTTAATTTTTGGGTTAACAAGAAATATGTACACTAAATTCCTAAAGACAAGACAAATTTCTTAAGACAAAAAATATGTATATTAAATTCCTAAAGACAAAAAAAAATTCTAAAGACAAAAAATATGTATACTAAATTTCAAAAGACAAGAAAAATTTCTAAAGACAAAAAATATGTATATAAAAAATCTTACAACAAGAAATATGTATACTAAATGTCTTAAGACAAGAAATATGAATACTTTTAAAATTTTTAAAGACAAGAAATATGTATACTAAATTTCTATCAAGATGGGCTGGTTGGCATGAATGATTATATAATTTGGTTGATGATTTTGAAATAGACGCTAGAAAGCGTAGGTTTCATGGTCTATATGTTTATGTCTTGTACTAGTTTTGTATATATACTATTTCTAGTATTGTGAGATACACTGTATATCTTGTGTCAAGTGTACAACTTGTTTTTTTTTTTTTTAAGTCAGCCAATTAAGTAACAGTAACATTTATCAGGTTTCTAATTTTTTAATGCATTAATGTTTACATAACATTAATATAAAAGTAGAGGCCTTGAAATGTAACATTGTCAATTACTGGCAACACACTATTTAATTGAACATCGTCTGTTAATTTGTGGACATTTCATATTATTAATGTATTTAATTTTAAAACTATTATGTAAATGAGGGCCGTATGCAGAAGATAGAAATGGCCAGTTTTCTCCTCAAGTTTGTAAGCTGTGACAAAGTCTTAGAAAGTTGTATCTATTTGTCAATATTGGTAACCATTGTTTTTTTGTAATTGTATTGTTGTCTTGTGATATCATGTGAAAAAATGAATAAAACACTTGAATGATGAAACAAGCCATTTAGATTGATATGCCTCGCCTGTGCCCCGCTTTGACCATCAATGCACATGTCAAACTAACTTAAACACAAAAACTTAATGTTGATGGAGATGCTGACAAATTAAAGTCAATGGACCATGAAAGGTAAGCCGCATCCAGCATCTGATGCATGGGTTGAGATTTACTACCTAAGATGCATGTATGGTCCAAGTTTGGTTGGTGTAGCACTTATACTTTCAGTGAAACTAACTTAAACACAAACACTTAATGTTGACGCCACTGTCGCCGGAAAAGCAACACCTAAGTCTCGCTTCCACTTTGTGGTGGGGAAACAAAAATGAATAAAACATTTGAATGATTAAAAAACAGTAGTCGTATGTTCACATTAACTATCTTGTTTTCACCTGAAGTTCAGCTATCTGTGGTCTGCTCCAGCTTTTTATGGCAGATGGACATTTATCCTTGGAGGTCAGAAACTCAGTGATAACCTATAACACAACATGACACATCATACCCATACAGGCTTTGGAGGTTTGGACCTGGAGACATTTTTCCAATACAAACAAGGGGTTTGTTTGTAGTTGTATTGTGAAAATGCACTTGTAAAGTGGCCAAGCCGACTTCTCTGTATGCTAGGTGAGCAGGTCGACTCGGCCGAGGTCAAGCCGCTATACGGACGTATTTCGCGTACTGTTGGTCTGATAGTAGATTACACTCGCCGTTGCAGGCTAACCTTATCATTAGCATTCATATTATATTATCATCTTACTACAGTTGTATCCTTAAAAGGTAAATCCACACAAATAAATCTTTTAAAGTGAATTTAAAAACAGAACATACCTTCAAGCAAAATTTGTTTGACAGTAAAGACAACCTACTGGAATCTGAGGGAAGTCTGGCAGGGCCAACGCCTTCTTTCTGACTAGGGATTCAATGGGGTCCACACATTCACCATCAGACATCTGGCGCCATTTGTGGAACCTACAAAACAAGTTTCAGTTCCATCATCACTGGTTTACAGTAGCAGATTATAGCAAGTTATCTAACAATAACCCAGACGGCCTGTTTTGCTCACCTGGATATTTAATCATGGCAAAAAAATATCATTAAAAGTAATATTACAAATAAGTAATATTACTTATTATTATGGTTACAAATAAGTTCACAGGGTTAGGGCCTGTCCCTAGTGTCAAGCCATGAAGCATATGTGTATCAAGATCTTCATGCTCAGCAATTGTTTACATTGTTATAAGGTTGGGATCTCCATCGTTTCCATACTACGTTCCTGGGAATAAGTCCCTAAGTGTGGGACAGATCCCAAGACAATTCTCGTAGCCTGACTTTGTCTCTTTATACCCAGCAATTGTATATATGGTTTTACACACAACGAATAACAAACAATGCAAGATAAATTCACAGAATGTATTAAAAAGTCTGCAGAAAGGACTGCCTATCACCTGTAGCAGTACTTCCCCTGGACCTGATGGAGAAAAGCTGATAAGCTATTGACCCCATAGTGCTTAGAGCAGAGTTCTGGAAAGCTTAGGCCAACAACCTATATCGAACATGACTTGGACGACAGTGACTGACCTGAAACTCATGGAAAAACATAGCCTGGTCCCTAAATTTTCCGAAAGTTGAAAAGAGTTGGGAGTCGCATCACTTGGGCCTAGATTTCAATTTGTCTTACCCTGGGCCATATAGAGTTGATGTATACAGTCCAGCTAACCCTAGGTTCTGGAGTTGGATTGACCAATTATGGGTATTTAGTAGCAGACTGACAACATAAATAATTCATGTTACATGTTATTACATTGTGCCAGTTTACTGCCATAGCCCCGAAGGAGTATGTGATGCATTGGTTTGATAAGGAAATAAACCTTCCCCAACACCAGCAAGGAATTGGTAACTTACGCAGTTGACAATGACTCTAAATATACACATAACAGCATAAGACAACGATAAAAAACATAGAATGGTTGGTTGGGTGTATAGGGTTTAACGTCCTATTAACAGCTAAGGTCATTTAAAGGTCATTCAATGTCATTCCTTGTCTGAAGGAAACATTCCTTGTTTGGTGGAAGTTCCCTGTTTTGAGGAAGTTCCCCGTTTTGAGGAAGTTTCCTGATTTGAGGAAGTTCTTTGTTAGGGAGAAGTTTTTTGTTTGGAGGAAGATCCTTGTTTGAAAGAAGTTCCATGTTTGAAGGAAGGTTCTTTAAAACTTTAGATCAACTAGTAATACTAGAAATAATCTAGTGCAGCTACTGAATGCGACGGTGTAATAACTAAATACCACCCCAAACATTATTTAATAACAAAATATCATCCCAAACATTATGTAATAACAAATACCACCCCAAAATGTTGTGTCTTAACAAAATACCACTTTAAAGTTTGTGTGATAACGAAATACCATCCCTAAATTTGAAACCTCAAACAGTTATGGGAGATTTATGGGAGATTTATAGAAGTTATGGAAGAAGTAACTAGTAGTTCATCTATCAGATTTTCAACCCTGTAACACATCCTTACATTACCTATCCAGAATGGAATAGCCCTGTAACGTTGTCAGCAGTTTTGTGGCTTTATCTACACCAACACCTGGAACTCCTTTCGGTAAATAGTCACAGCCAAGGAGTAGTGCAATCGCAACCATCTTCTGTCTGTCCAGTCCTAGACGACTTTCAATACTGCTCATAGAGTAACTCTCCACGTGTGGGTCCTACAAGATCAAACATGCATGTTATAACAGAAAAGTCTGTACAACAGGAATGCCTACTTAATTGCCCTGTGGTTCACCTATAAATAGCAAGTGGCACTGACCTTGACCTTAAGACCCTAAAATACAAACTTATCCCAGGTATTCTCAAACTTGACCTTTGTATAAACTTTGAAGAACTGTAAAGAAATAACTCGCTTGAGTCATTACAACGACTTGCAATGAGATGAGTCGGAGTAGACATAGGTAACAAATATAAGCTTTTGTAAAGAATAAAAGTAACAATATTTGAGACAACAAAACGCCAAGAGAGCCTGTATCACTCACCTAAATATTTAAGCACTTGTGGCAAAATATTCTTAAAATTAAAAGTAACATTGCAAAGATTCCCCTATTTTGAGCTCAGCATCCAAAAAACCACCATCCTTTGTTTTAAATCACATTCCCTGGTTCCTTAGAATGGGTTTTAATGACTTTCTTTGAAATATAACCAAATACATTTGTATTCAAGAGCTGTAGGCTTTTGAAGAGTTAAAAATCAAAATAACCCTATTTAGGCCACGCACCCAGGGGAGCTTTATTCTTTCTTTACACAACCACTGATTTTCAGGTACGCTATGCTTCATGATCCAAATTTATCTTACGTAAGATAGCAATTCACCTTCATACTTTAAATGTATACATAAGATGGTACTTCACCTTAATACCTAATGTAAGATGGCAGTCCACCATCAAACCTTATATAAGACTGCACTTCATGTTCATACCTTATGTAATTGATTGATTGATTGGTTTTACGTCCGCGTCACCACCGAGTAGTTCGGTTATCCAGACAAAGAAAAGGCAGGAAAATGAGTAGAAGGGATAAACTATGCAGTGAAGGAATAGAAATCCTTATGTAAGATGGTACATCACCTTTATACCTCATCAAGATGGTACGTCACCTTTATACCTCATCAAGATGGTACGTCACCTTTATACCTCATCAAGATGGTACGTCACCTTTATACCTCATCAAGATGGTACGTCACCTTTATACCTCATCAAGATGGTACGTCACCTTTATACCTCATCAAGATGGTACGTCACCTTTATACCTCATCAAGATGGTACGTCACCTTTATACCTCATCAAGATGGTACGTCACCTTTATACCTCATCAAGATGGTACGTCACCTTTATACCTCATCAAGATGGTACGTCACCTTTATACCTCATCAAGATGGTACGTCACCTTTATACCTCATCAAGATGGTACGTCACCTTTATACCTCATCAAGATGGTACGTCACCTTTATACCTCATCAAGATGGTACGTCACCTTTATACCTCATCAAGATGGTACGTCACCTTTATACCTCATCAAGATGGTACGTCACCTTTATACCTCATCAAGATGGTACGTCACCTTTATACCTCATCAAGATGGTACGTCACCTTTATACCTCATCAAGATGGTACGTCACCTTTATACCTCATCAAGATGGTACGTCACCTTTATACCTCATCAAGATGGTACGTCACCTTTATACCTCATCAAGATGGTACGTCACCTTTATACCTCATCAAGATGGTACGTCACCTTTATACCTCATCAAGATGGTACGTCACCTTTATACCTCATCAAGATGGTACGTCACCTTTATACCTCATCAAGATGGTACGTCACCTTTATACCTCATCAAGATGGTACGTCACCTTTATACCTCATCAAGATGGTACGTCACCTTTATACCTCATCAAGATGGTACGTCACCTTTATACCTCATCAAGATGGTACGTCACCTTTATACCTCATCAAGATGGTACGTCACCTTTATACCTCATCAAGATGGTACGTCACCTTTATACCTCATCAAGATGGTACGTCACCTTTATACCTCATCAAGATGGTACGTCACCTTTATACCTCATCAAGATGGTACGTCACCTTTATACCTCATCAAGATGGTACGTCACCTTTATACCTCATCAAGATGGTACGTCACCTTTATACCTCATCAAGATGGTACGTCACCTTTATACCTCATCAAGATGGTACGTCACCTTTATACCTCATCAAGATGGTACGTCACCTTTATACCTCATCAAGATGGTACGTCACCTTTATACCTCATCAAGATGGTACGTCACCTTTATACCTCATCAAGATGGTACGTCACCTTTATACCTCATCAAGATGGTACGTCACCTTTATACCTCATCAAGATGGTACGTCACCTTTATACCTCATCAAGATGGTACGTCACCTTTATACCTCATCAAGATGGTACGTCACCTTTATACCTCATCAAGATGGTACGTCACCTTTATACCTCATCAAGATGGTACGTCACCTTTATACCTCATCAAGATGGTACGTCACCTTTATACCTCATCAAGATGGTACGTCACCTTTATACCTCATCAAGATGGTACGTCACCTTTATACCTCATCAAGATGGTACGTCACCTTTATACCTCATCAAGATGGTACGTCACCTTTATACCTCATCAAGATGGTACGTCACCTTTATACCTCATCAAGATGGTACGTCACCTTTATACCTCATCAAGATGGTACGTCACCTTTATACCTCATCAAGATGGTACGTCACCTTTATACCTCATCAAGATGGTACGTCACCTTTATACCTCATCAAGATGGTACGTCACCTTTATACCTCATCAAGATGGTACGTCACCTTTATACCTCATCAAGATGGTACGTCACCTTTATACCTCATCAAGATGGTACGTCACCTTTATACCTCATCAAGATGGTACGTCACCTTTATACCTCATCAAGATGGTACGTCACCTTTATACCTCATCAAGATGGTACGTCACCTTTATACCTCATCAAGATGGTACGTCACCTTTATACCTCATCAAGATGGTACGTCACCTTTATACCTCATCAAGATGGTACGTCACCTTTATACCTCATCAAGATGGTACGTCACCTTTATACCTCATCAAGATGGTACGTCACCTTTATACCTCATCAAGATGGTACGTCACCTTTATACCTCATCAAGATGGTACGTCACCTTTATACCTCATCAAGATGGTACGTCACCTTTATACCTCATCAAGATGGTACGTCACCTTTATACCTCATCAAGATGGTACGTCACCTTTATACCTCATCAAGATGGTACGTCACCTTTATACCTCATCAAGATGGTACGTCACCTTTATACCTCATCAAGATGGTACGTCACCTTTATACCTCATCAAGATGGTACGTCACCTTTATACCTCATCAAGATGGTACGTCACCTTTATACCTCATCAAGATGGTACGTCACCTTTATACCTCATCAATATGGTAGGTCACCTTTATACCTCAAGATGGTAGGTCACCTTTATACCTCATCAAGATGGTACGTCACCTTTATACCTCATCAAGATGGTACGTCACCTTTATACCTCATCAAGATGGTACGTCACCTTTATACCTCATCAAGATGGTACGTCACCTTTATACCTCATCAAGATGGTACGTCACCTTTATACCTCATCAAGATGGTACGTCACCTTTATACCTCATCAAGATGGTAGGTCACCTTTATACCTCATCAAGATGGTAGGTCACCTTTATACCTCATCAAGATGGTAGGTCACCTTTATACCTCATCAAGATGGTAGGTCACCTTTATACCTCATCAAGATGGTAGGTCACCTTTATACCTCATCAAGATGGTAGGTCACCTTTATACCTCATCAAGATGGTAGGTCACCTTTATACCTCATCAAGATGGTAGGTCACCTTTATACCTCATCAAGATGGTAGGTCACCTTTATACCTCATCAAGATGGTAGGTCACCTTTATACCTCATCAAGATGGTAGGTCACCTTTATACCTCATCAAGATGGTAGGTCACCTTTATACCTCATCAAGATGGTACGTCACCTTTATACCTCATCAAGATGGTACGTCACCTTAATACCTCATCAAGATGGTACGTCACCTTTATACCTCATCAAGATGGTAGGTCACCTTTATACCTCATCAACATCAATTTAAACATGAAGATGTACCTTGGTGTTCATAGTGAAGTTCCTATAAACTGTCCGGGCTCCATACAGGAAGGCATCACCATCGTTTGTCAGACAGCCATCGACAAGCTTCAGGTATCATGAAAAAATATTGCATAAAACCAATAAATAACATTGTTCACAATTATTGTGAAGAGTTAATGAAAAACAAAAGATACCATGGGCATCTTTGCGTCCATGATTGTACTATCTTCATATGATTTTTGTTCTATTCTGTGTAAAAAGGGGATCTGCTTAGTACCCGATACTTTCTTGGAAATAGTGATAACAAACTGTCATTTTGTTTTTCTGATTAGCAAAACATGCACAAATTCGGACCTATAAAAATAAACATACATGTACGAAATTCAATGGTGATCTGTCCAGTAATTCTTGAAAACCAATGATAACAAAATTGTACATTTCAAATTCGCTGTTTTTCCAATCAGTCTCCAAATGAAACATAACAGACTATTGGGAACCTACATGTGAAGTTTGAGAAATACCACATTAGACCTTTCTGAGAAAAAGTGCTAATAAACTCTCATTATCAAAATTCAAAAATGGCTGCCAGTCGACACCTTTTATTTGAAATTTAAGGATCCCTGTACCACTGCAAAAAAAAAAACTACTGCCCAAAACTGTAACTAAATATTGGAAAATATTATTTCTGGCATGACTATGACCTTGATAAATAATTTCTGAAAAGATAGCTATACCTTGCGAGACTTTAATGAGAAATAATTGATATGAAATAAACAAAATATAAATCAACAACAGTCATGTTCTGAGAGTAAAAATTCAACGGGGCAAGATCGGGATTTGAACCTTGGACTTCAGATTGTTATACGTCCATCACTCTAATTACCCATTAAGTGACCTGTAGCCAAACTCTGCTACAGTTCAAATAGATATTAAGGGGAGGTTACTGTATATAGCAGAACCACAGTGCAGTGGGACAGGGATCCTTGAGAAAGGTCCCTCCATCCAGTACTTTCTGAGAAATAGCACTAACAGACTTTAACTCTCAAAATTCAAGATGGCTACCTATCAGCCATTTTGGTTTTCAAATCAGTTCCAAAATTCAATATGTGTAACTAGGGACCATATATGGATGACCTTCATGTAAAGTTTGAGTTCCCTCCAGCACTTTCTAAGAAATAGCAATAACAATAATTAAGGACTGACAACCAAACAACTGACGAGTTTGGTCTGATCATGGGTGATTTGAACAGCCCAACATTTGATGATGGTGGGCTAAAAAGACAACAGTTAAACATAATCAACATCATAAAACTAGACAGCCACCAGGGGCAGCATCCGCCGCATTATCCCCTCTCATAAAAAACTTGATCAATATTTGTTATTGATACATCAATGACAATCCAATTTTTATCAACAGTTACCATTTGCTAAAATAAAGTTTTCACTTTCTTAAGAGTGACCTTTACCTTTGAGGAACCATAACCAGAATAGGGTTCTTGTCTAAAGGGTAACCCACACACAAAGTTTGAAATTTGTAGAGTCATTACAGAGACATCGACGGACCATGCACAAAAACGACATGGTTGTCCTTTTCGCCTTGATCGTAAGCTTAGTGTGGTTAAAAGTTCAGAATTTAGCATCCAAACAAAAAATTAGAGACATCCTGTGTGATTGCTTTATCCAACCAAATTCCTTAAATACAAAACAAAATATGGCATCACAAGTGATACAAAGCCCTCGCATTCACACATTGTGTGACATGTGTTTTGTTATGACAAACACTTGTATTGAGTTTCATGGAATTCCAATGAGAAATGAGGTCATTAGAGCAATGACAATTTTTTTTCTAAAAATAGTAACAGTGACCTTGATTTTCAACGTAGAAACCCGCAACAATTTTTTTTTCACAATATAGCCATAACAAACACTCGCATCAAGTGTGCTGAAATTCTGTTGAGAAATGAAGTCGCTGGAGCAATGACAAAGTTTTAGAAAAAAACCAGTAAGTGACCTTGACCTTCAACGTAGCTACTGAAATAAAAACTTGTTCAAAGCATTGCTATACCAAACAAAAACATGTACCAAGATTCATGATATTCCGTTGAGAAATGACGTCGCTAGAGCGAGGGGATAATAAGCAGATATAAGCAGATAGGATACTTTTGTGTTGCTAAAGACTGATCATACCCCAGCGGCATCCAAGGCAGCACACAAGGCCTCGGCTTCCCCATAGCTGTGGAGGTACGGAACACCAAGGCAGTCCAGCATCCTACAACACTGAAAAATACACAGCAGTCAACAAGCGGGGATTCACTCTATTTGGTTAAAGGTTTGGGATCCAGACCATTTCCAAGCTATGACCTAATTTCCCTATCAGAACTCAGGTGGGAACAACTCTGGGGGATTCTGGTAGCATGAATGTATCCTCTAGTTGCTCTGAGTATACTGTATAACACAAAATGTTTGTGGGTACTTGGAGTTTCCTTTGTGGTTTGAAGCATCTAAGATCGTAGACAGTAGACACGTATATCATTCAAACTCGTATTTATTTTTGAGGTTTAATAGCTACCACGAAAACCACGAATGTTTATACACAACCAACAGTTCATGTTAAACAGTACAGATATAGGGTGGGATCTCAACAATTTCCACAGGCATAAATTCTTCCATTGAGCCCTGCCCCTCTGCTACAAGGGTAGCCACTCCCCCTTCATCTGTTTATACAAAATTAAATTCCCTTTGCTCAAAGATGGTTAAAACCCCTCCTTTCTGACATGCAGAAGAAGGAATTAAAAGATTTACCTCTTTTTCCTCTATTGAGTATTGGGCCCCACACCCTCTATTTCTAAAAAAAAGTCTGATGTTCTAGATCAAATTTGGTTTAATTTCTGCTTTGGTATGGAAGGAACGGATTTAAAGATGTATCTTTATTTCCCCATTCGACCCCAGCCCTCTGTCCCCAGGGGGCCATATACCATCTGTTAATAGAACAAGAGGTCCAATGGATCAGCATCGCTCACCTGGTATTAATCTCAAACAAGTAACCATAAAAGTGGACAAAAACAAAGCTACATGCAAAATATCAATATGACTATAAATCATTCAAATGAACCTGTAAAAAGATTTAAACACATTTGACCCTTGTGACTTTGAAAGTCGAACAAGGTCATTATGTTGAACAAAATATATAGCCCTTCATCTCAGCATGCAACTTGCCAAATATAACCACCCAAGACCCTATTGAGATTAGGTTATTCAGAAGAAGTTGTTTAAAGGTTTATACATATTTGACCCCTGTGACCTTGAATATAGGTCAGGGTAATTCATTTTAACAAACTTGGTAGCGCTTCATCCAAGCATGCTACTGGCCAGGTATCAACATGCTGGGCCTTAGAAGACGTTATTTAAAGATTTTAAACATATTTGACCCCTGTGACCTTGAATATAAGTCAAGGTCATTCATTTAAACAAACTTTGTATCCTTCATCCAAGGATGCTACTGGTCAGGTATCAACATTCTTGGCCTTATTGTTATTTTAAAGATGTCATTTAAAAAGATTTTTAAACATATTTGACCCCTGTAACCTTGAATAAAGGTCAAGGTCATTTATTTGAACAATCTTGGTAGCCTTTTATGCCAGCATGTACATTGTATCTGGCCAAATATCATGATCATCCTGGGTTTTTTTGGTTCTTTTGGTTATTCAACAGAAGTTGTTTGAAAGTTTTTTTAAGATAATTGACCTATGTGACCTTGAATATAAGTCAATGTCATTCATTGAACAAACTTTGTAGCCCTTCATCCCCGCTTGTTATTTGCCAAATATCATCATGCGCAAATTTCTGGTTATTCAGAAATTGTTAAAAGATTTTAACATTTGACCCATGTGAACATGAAAATTGGTGAAGGTCACTCATTTGAACAAACTTGAAATTTGGTAGCCCTTCATCTGAGGATGCTAATGGCCAAATATTATCACCCTCTGCCTCCTGGTTATTCAGAAGAATTTGTTTTAAGTAAAAAGTTTACGCTGAATGGGCGCTGCACCATGGCATAAGCTCACTTGGCCCTTTGGGCCATGTGAGCTAACAAAATTGAAACAGGAGCTTGATTTTATCACCACTAAACTTAACGTAATGGATTTTACCTCTCGGAGACAAGCATTGAAGTTACGTCTGCTGCCTTTACCTCCACTTCCTCTAGGACCTTGACCTTTAAAACCTTGAGGTTTGCTATGAAATCTGGCCTCCTGACGTTTGCACATTATATCCTTTTTTAAATCTGGTGCTTCTCCTTCCACCACAAACACAAGATGCACACCAAGCTGCAGCAGATGAAGGATTCGGAAAAAAAGGTTCCTGAAATGGATTAATGGCATCCTTTAGAGCAGAGTTTACATTGTTATAAGTGATGGCCACACTATTCACCAAACATTCTAATGTGAATAAACAGAACTCTGGATGTTTCTGCCTTAACTTTATGTGAATACTTGGTTTAAAACTATGAAACTTGTATTAATTGTCATGGTTTTTAGTAAGAGAATGTTTAGGAATCAGCTTTAACTCTTGTGAATTGAAAAGATTGATCTATTTGACATGTTATAAGATTCTCTAGATTTTAAGTAAAATGTTTGAGTTTTTTTAAATTGCTAAATGTTAAGGGTCAACTAAAGAGCATTTGCATCATATTCCCTACGTGATACAAATGTTAAGTCCTGATGTCATGATCTCTACGTGATACTAGCGGAAAACTGGCGACCACTGGTGTGAATCCTGGACACTAATGCCCACCTGGGAAAAGGTTTAGAGACCTTGTATAAAGACCTTGTATAAAGCACACATGTTCACTCATGCTTACCTGAGAAAAGGTTTAGAGACAATCCCTTGCATCTGCTTAACACATTGTGTCTCACACACCCATATACTGAGATCCACAGCCAAAACCTGACCCTTGAGTTCTGATAATTCCTGATGTTGCTGAACAGGACCCAAAATCTGCCACAAGTTTAGTACACCCATTTTTAAATGAGAATCAACCTGTTTAAGAAAAAGAAAAACTGTCATAATTCCAAAATTTTTCAATTCTTCAATAACTGAAAAATGAAAAAACAGCCTCAGAGATAATTCTGGAGGGGGCCATGGGGCATTGGCCCCTCAAAACTGAAATTGACCCCTCCATGTTCCAACTTTCTTTTAATTTTACATAGAATGGCACCTATTAATTTTAATAGTGACTAAAATTTGCTGAAATGGCTCACTGCTCTCAAATTCCAGGATTTTCCCTGATAACAGCTCAGTATCAATTGGTGCATGACACATAAATCACACACGAGGTGTATCCACACTGTTGCGAAACCAAGGGCTGCAAATACTTACTTTTTCAAATAAAGAGAATCACACAGCAGTGATTAGTTTGTTTGTGTTTTACGTCCTATTAACAGCTATGGTCATTGAAGGACGTGCCAGGTTTTGATGGTGGAGGAAAGCTGGAGTTCCCGAAGAAAAACTACCAACCAACCGCCAGTACCTGGTGACTGCCCCACGTCGGTCTCGAACCTGTGACCCAGTGGTGGATGGCTAGTGGTAGCAGAATGTCAGACGTCTTAATCACTTGGCCACTGGAACTGCAGCCCCTGTAATTAAAGTGTACAATGTAACCTATCTAGTCATCACCTAATACATGCTGGGCTATATATGTCATTTATAGGGAGTAAGCTTACAATATCATATTGTACCGACATCTTAAATGAACGGAGCCCCTACATACCGGTACCAGTTTTGCTCAAGATTATAGCTACTGTGCATGCTCCATTGGTAAATTAAGACACATCAATGGGAAGGAGACATGAACCAAGTTATAGTTTAGTATCATGGTAGTTTACATACGATTTTATTGTTTTGTGATAGAATGACTGCTTGCATGTCAGTGTTTGAAAAAAAAAATTCTGGTGTGATAAATCAAGGTATGTTTCAAAATGTTCAAAAAGTTGACATTATGCCTTAGTGTCACAGTTTCTACACATGTACCTATGTAGTAGGACGAGGAATAGTGATAAAGATATGTAGTGCCGTCGCTGGGGCTCAAACCAGCGACCCTTGGCTTTCCAGCCCGATGCTCTACAACTGAGCTAAAGGGAAATTCCTTAAAGCCGATGCTTGTAATTATAATCAATGCACATTTTTTACACTATTCTCCCCTTTTTTCAAACACCAACCCAGGTTCTTTGACTCCCTGCCAAGGGTTCTCCTACCTTGAACGGGGATGGTCAACAACACCAGTTTGTAGCAGGACGAGGAATAGTGATAAAGATAGTGCTGTCGCTGGGGCTTGTACCCACGACCCTTAGCTCTCCAGCCCGATACTCTATACCACTGAGCTAAAGGGAAATTCCCTACAGTTGACGCTTGTAAGACAACCTAATCAATGCAAATCTTTTACACCTATATTATGCAAAGTGCCCTAAATATTCTAATCAATTAAATGAGACTGTTATTTTGCAAGTAAAAACATTTGTCATGTTATATGCCTATTCTCTTTATTTCACAATTAGCTCATTTTGATGCTGTGGGCAAAATTGTCCTGATTTATTGTGTCTGTTCTTTTTTCTTCTCTAGTGTACAAGCAAGGGCTCCATCAATGTATTGATGATTATATGCCTTTGGGAACCTGTGCAGAGATGTGAAAAAAGGGATTAATCATGTTTAATCATGATACATATTCGGGACGCACTAGGCCTATATATATATATGTGTCAAACATTGTTTTTTTTATTTATTAAATGTACAAGAGAAATGTTTATAAAGAACAACAAAAAAAAATTGCATGAGCTTGACCATACAATTTTCCACTTAGGTAATTATTAATCATCACTACTCATCAAAACATATGAGATCAACATTAGTGATTTACAAATACTATTTCAAGTCATTTAATGATATATGGTAAGTTTGTTAAATTCTTAGTATCTAGTATTATAGTTTGGTAATGAAGAGGAATTGTTATTTCTCCCACCCTCCACAGGTGTCTCACGTTTTAGCCGGGAAAAATCAGCTTATCACTCCCTAGGGGGGGATAGCCTTGTGCCGATTAGCATGTGTTCGATTGCGACGTCATTAAAATGCGTCATCGGTAATTGTGACATCATCAAAAGTGAATGACGATATGCATACCCCACATGTGTTTTTGTTTACAAACATGGCAGACTACTGTGGGTGGAGCTGTGACTGAAATAATAGGATGGGAGAAAAATAATCATCCCCTACCTTGAGTGTGTACGTAACAGGGAAATCTTGGGGTGATTTTTTTTGGTTGTCTAACTCTAGGCATGCAGAGCCTCGGGTTAGACAACCAAAAAACATCACCCCTCGGGTTGGAGATTTCTCTGTCACACCCTCAAGGTGGGGGAAGATTCTATTAATCTTTCTGGAGAGACAGAACTTGCTAATGCAAGCTCCCTCCTATTTCATTACTACAGTATGATTATAGACAAAAGTACATGCATGCATAAACCACAGGCGCTTGTATCTGGTATATAATACCTGAGCTAAAATCCAAAATCCACTACTTACATTTAGCTCGGGTATTAAAATACCAGATACAAGCGACTGTGCATAAACTTACACGCTATATACAGTGTAACGTATCTAACACGACAAAACTGTCCAATCTAAATTATGAAAACATAGTAATAGGGCCCTACCCCCATAGTATGGTAACCACGGACACTTCACTCAAAATCAAGTAGACGTGGTTCTTGTGTACTTGTTGTGGAAGAATTAGTTATAGGCCTACATCCGAATATCGCGCCAATATTTCCGCGAAGCCCTGCCATTCTCGTTTGTATGATATAACTATCGATGTGTTCAAAAATGATTTTATATCAATTCCATTGTTAATTTAATTGTATTAAAACTATGTGATCTGCACGAGTGGAATTACAATTTAATTTTAAATAGAAGGATGTCAACAAAATCATGTGACTTTATCGTGTATTTTGCAGACGAATGTGCTTGTAGCTTCCGCTTGTTCGCGCCAGATTTCAAATACATTAAGGTTTACTCAATTTTAATGGGATAAATTAATTATGCCACTCTTAGGAAAGAAGATTTTCGTCAGCGTGAAGCCTCTGAAGGATATCCGATCAGACGAGAAAGTCTACACGGTCCCATATTCTAAGGAACAGTTCCGATCTCAGAAGTATCCTTTCTAGCAATCACCTGTGTGAACCAAGATGGCGGCGTACATTGAAATGAACAACACACTCCTATTATTGACGGATTTTTGTAAAACTGTTGAATGGATCATTGGGAAACTTACCCATTATTTTCGTTAACATGTATTGGTTGTTTTCTCATGGTCTATTGGTGATTATTCTGTGTTTTTAAATCGAAAAAAACTTCACCGGCATTTTGGCAGTTTTTCGATAAATGCTTGTTTACGTCACTAAGGTGATCACGTGGGCCCGGGGGTGGGGACTATTGACGTTTTTATACAATACCTAATAGTACCCATGTGATGAAATAGCCAGAAATGCCAGAAACGTAGTGATCATTTTTCCCGCAAATTTGCCGCCATTTTTATTGTGCTTGCACCGAATGTGGTCGCTTTCTGAAATGCAGTAGGTATGCTTCATATATTGACCAGTATAACTTGTCTCCTTGTTGTGTCAGGTTGATGCTGTTTCTATCATACTTTTACAAAATCTGTGACATGTGGTCGTTGTTGTCATAATGAGATTCTTAATGTTCTGGATTTTTAAAAGTTTATTTTGTGGACAGACTATATATAGCTATTAGCCTATAGAACCGAAGAATACTCATTGTCAGACTTTCTGTATCTGAAGTCTACTGGAAAGGAACTGTAACTTGTAGAGCTATACATAAACATTGACCAATTGACTTGCATTGGTGTACAATGTGTGAAATTCAACTGTTGTATTTTCCTTTTGTATATAAGCATGCAGTTGTGCAAGTGTTTCAAATATTTATATTTTTTTAGTGTCAAGGAATATATTGTTCATCCTTAACAATATTGTCAGAGAGTTTGATGAGCGGTGTGCTTGGTATGATGAAAGAATCTGGACCTGTCGTTGTACTGGTCACACTAATCTGACTCATCAGGAGGCCTGGAACTCAGAGAAAATTGTCAACAATTCTCTGAAGCAGCAGTTCCCGAGTTGTCACAATAAACCAGTTTTGGAACATGTGCATCATAGTAAGTTGAAGTTTGACTTCTTCTCTGGAACTCAGAGAAGCATATCAACCATATTTGGTTAGAATCATTCTCACTTGGTGGGGAATCCAAAATGTACAAATGGAGGGGCTAACCCCCCTGAGTGTGTGTGTGTGTGTGTGTGTGTGTGTGGGGGGNGGGGGGCTGGAAAGGGGTAATTTGACCTTTAAGCGATTTCTTCTATGGAACTTCTAAGAGAAGGGTATCAACCGTTTATGGTTCCCCTAGGAGGGACTTGATTTCTGAGCCATAACTTTGAAACAGTTGAAATACCCACCCAATAACCATACTGTATATATGGGGGGCTGAAAAGGGGTAATTTGGTCGAATTGCTTTAAGCGCGGCTTCTACTATGAAACTAATTTCTAAGAGAAGGGTATCAACCGTATTTGGTTCCCCTAGGGACTTGATTTCTGTTGTAATACCCACCCAATAACCTAGTCCGAATTATTCTGACGTTTTATCGACTTTTTCATATCGGTCTGTCGTCGATTAACATCAGAACTCCGGCCCTCTATGATATGCGGGATATATGCGACCCGCACCCGGAGCGCACTTCAAACTGATATTTTAGAAACAAATCGTCACTTTCGCACACATGTCGCACATGGATCGAAAGATGACACAGGTCGTAAGGATCTAGTGTTCTATTCAATATTCTATTGCTTATTTCAGGTACCTTGACACTGGACACCCTGGTTGATCAGGCCTGGCTCTTGCTACAGCAGGTTCTCTCTGTAGGCGAAACAGTAACTCTCAAAGTCAAGTCAGCAGGAAAACCGTAAGTTATAAAAAATGATGATTTTCACCACTGTATTTATTTACAGCTTACCGCTAGATTTCAAAATGATATATGCTATGTGTGAAACAGGAGCAGAAAAATACACAGTTCAAACCTGGGACCTAACGAACTCTAGGATGCTCTAACAAACTGAGCTACCTGGTCGCTGGCGATAGACCCAGTCCAGTTCCGCTACACTCCTCCCTCCTTTCACAAAGTATTTTACCCTGATGACACACAAGACCCTCTACCACCTTCTGTGGGTATAATTTGTTGGGTGCCAAATGTAACAGGAGCAGAAAAATACCTGATCGCATGTTCCTTGTCATACCGCCCAAAACTTGTGTCTCTTGTCATACCGTCAAAATCATATGTCAAAGAGTTATATCCATAACATCATTCAGTTATTGAATTGATGTGTTGTTTGCACTGCCATTTATGTTTCTCTTCTTGGCTGAGTGCTAAAAACTAGTTGTCCCAAGCGTCGGGCAAGTGGATTTTTACACCCCTGAAATAGACTTTAAAATATAAATTAAAAATCCCACAAAAAACTTGTTTAAGTGTTCAATTCAATTTTCTTTCCTTATTTATAGGATAAAAGGTCACGTCATTAAAGTCAACAAAGCTGGAATTGAAGTAAGTAGTACCTAATTTCTAACAGCAATATTTCTATTTTAATGGACAGGTTTTCAAACTTTACAGGTATTGAACATATTTGCTGTTTAATGAAAAGTAGCTTAGTGACATTGTGTTCAAATTAAACATACAACGCCTTTAGAAAAACCCATTATAGTGATGATGATGATATTGTACCTATTTTCAGGCCAATCCCACCAGTAACTGTAACTCCCCCTCCAGTGACAAGGAAAACTCGGCTGAGGATACTAATGGCTCGCCACAGAAATGGCTGCCTCCAAAGGTAACACTTGGATGTCTTCTTCTCTTGTTTGAATATAAATCATTTATGGTTATACCCTCACTGTATTAATTTTGATATTGCCAGAAACATAAACATCAGTCTATAATTATTGATGATAAACCTTTTTAAAATTCGGATTTTCATCAATTATTACTATCTGTTTTGAACTTGATATGTTGTAAAGTTGCTGCCTTACAAGTACAGCCTGCATCTAGATGATGAGGACAAGGTCATTAATGAGATCCCTGCTTTGGACATCAGGTAAACGCTTTTCTCATACACCTACTGGTAATACATTAATTTCTCTAATGAAGTTATACACCTGGCAGTGATCTATTTGCTCAGTTTTACTGCCGAATACAGGCTGTTTCCCCTAAGTAAAAAGTGCCTTATTTTCCAAAAATGACCAAAAGCCAAGGAATATATTCATAATTTCAATACAAATAATGCTGTATTTTCCCAATTCATACAGGAACAGGCTAATGTAAAATAAAGGGAACAAAACAATGCCTGGTAATACATTATTTCTGTAATGAACTCATACACCAGGTAACATATTATTTCTGTGAGGAATTTCATATTGTTCAATATTTTATTCAAATCCTTCAGGTTTTTAACTATATAGCTATTATTTTATCATATCAGTTTGTGGTAAATTTTGCAGGATGCAGACATTGATTAATTTTAATTTTTGAATTTAAGATAAAAACAAGGAGTATGAAGGGAATTTAAGCCAATTGGCCAATTTACTATAGGTCTGTGTGATCCATCTACAATTTATTTTAATGAGTCCTTTTCAACTGTATTGTTAAAAGCAATGAGTCCCACAATGTTAAATTTAACTAATTCCAGAAATTCTGTGAGTCCCATCAAAATTCTATGAGTAGGACTCGGGACGCACATGTAGATTATCACTGAGTCACCCTATCCTTCAAATTCCTAACCATTGGAAATATTTCCCCACTTTAAAAATACATGTATGCGATGGTGAATATTAGCTTTCATGCATGGCTTAGTTTAAAACTGATTGTGTTCTTAATTATTTTCCCGGGTTAGTCGACTGGAGAAAGTGCCGTCTAAGGAACTTTTGAGGCTTTTTATCCGAGCGAATGCTCTGAGAGTGGGGCAGAACCAGACTAGCCCATGGGTGGTGGATGACAGCCACGTCAAAGAGTTTGGTCTACCCAACAAATTTGCTCATTTCTTGCTCTCTCCTATTAAAGTAAGTGGAAACATTGTCTCTTTTTACCCGACACTTCTATAATCTTAAACCTGTATGAATGTTCTATGGAAACCAGAACTGGTTAATCTGAACACCTTGTAAAGAAGCTGTGTGATTGTGTAAGTAAAGTTATACTGTTTCCTTGTGGGCAGAGGGGTAACAAAGTGGTAAATGTTAACTACTTCTTCTTCTGTACAAATTGAGGGATTTGAACCAAATTTGGTCTAAAGTATTCCAGGGCGAAGAGGAATCAAATTTGCATAAATAGAAAAATAAAATGGCCACAAGGCAGCCATCTTGGAATTTGAAAGTTTTTCACAGCTATTTCTCAACAAAGTAACAATGTCTTCACTTTAAGAGAAAACTCTCAAACCCAGCTGTATAGTATTTTGATCAAAAATTACCACATGTTGACAATACTATAAATCTAACAGAAAAGAGAAATGAAAGGAAAAAGTCAGGTTTGCGTAGAGCTAGTGAAGATCTTGCGATGGTTGGTGTCAAGATCGGGATTCCCTCTAGGATATCTTGTTATATGTGTGTATTTATTGTTTCACAGAAAGCAGAAATGAACAACGTAGTTGAAGATGAACCCGTTTCTAAAAAACGTAAACTGTCGTTACAACCTGGCCTTGCATCAAAGAAGGCCAAGATTGATAAAGTCAACAGTGCAAAGAAAACCAGGGACACTGGTAAAGCAAAACAAACAAAACTGACAGGGGCATCTCTAAAAAAGTCAGCATCAGTACCAAGTTTGAAATCAAATGACAAAACTTCTCCCAAAAAGTCACCAAAAAAGTACAAGACACCTGAAACTATAGAAATAGTCACTGATTCTAGTAGTGATGAGGATTGTCCTCTTGCAAAACTTCAAACACCACCACCAAGGAACAAATCGCCTGCCAAGAAATCCTCACCGAAAAAGGCATTGCCAAAGAAGGAAATGAAAAAAACAACATCAAAAATGGACAAGAAAAGGTCTCCAAAGAAAAGCAAAAAATCCTTGTCAGAAAAGAAAAAGAGTGACAGCAAAAACACTCCTAAAAAACGGAAAGTTGTTGCTGTGGATAGTGACGAGGATCAGCCATTATCAAAGCTGAAGCAGTCTCCGAAAAAGGTTTGTACTGCCTGCTGCAATACTGAATACATTTTGTAGATGTTTGAAGAATCTTTTCAATAATGTTGCATTCTGCAGAAAATAATTATGCTATTGTACAAAGCTATATGTTATTATTTGTAGTTATAATTTTAACAAAAAGTTATGATTTTGCATTAACTGTTTCCCAAATCAGACTTTTGAGGAAATTTCACAAAATAATCTAGATAAAACACTGACAGTTTAGCTATGATACAGAACTTCTCATTATACAGGTAGCAATAACATATGTTGTCAGGAAACTTTAAAGTTGACCTAGATGTGATGAGTGTAGTTTTGTGCTGACTGATGTCTTATGTGTGCCATTTTACTTTTTCAACAGAGTATGAAGCAGATGACTCTTTTTGAAATGTCGAAAAAGAAAGGATTAAAAACTCCAGAAAAGAAGAAAATTACCAACAGTAACAATAAAACCCCAGATAAAAAAGACAGAAAGAAAGTGATGACCCCGCCCAGGACACCTGCCATAGTATCCAAGATGGTTAGAGCTCACAAGATGGAGGACCAGGCAAAGTTCAAACTGTTTGTACAACAGGCTGCCAAGATTCTCACCTCCCCACAGAGGAAACGATTACCGCCACAGATCAAGGACACTGTGGACCGCAAATACGAGTTCTTTGCTGAGAAAAAGAAAATGCAAGTTATTTTTAGTTTAGCTATTTTCCAACTTTCAGCTGTTCACTATCTCATTAGCAACTTTTCCAATTTTTTTACTACTTAAAAATTTGCAAAGCTAAAATAAATACTTGCACGACGTTTTCAGGCTATGGGTTCCAGTATGTCAGTGAATCTGATGCGGATTATTATACATGTATACATACAGATAGATAAGCTATCCACACCACTGTGCCTTGTGTTGATTTTAATTTACTAAATCTGCTAAATACTATCACAGTGTTTGAGAATGAAAACTTGTCTTAACCTCTGCACAGGAGCCAGTAATTTGGCAGTATATATATCAACTAATACATGCTAAACAGTTAATCTGTTTATTACTGCAGGGTTAACACGTATACACATAGTGTAACATAAGACAGAAGCATTTGTAATCAGACATTTGGCATGTCAGGTGCTATACTCCCTCTACAACTTCAATTTATCCAGTAAAAGTCCAGAACTAAGAGCTAGATCCCACACCTAACTAAAGCAATTCATATTGATTGTTTTCCAGAAGCCGTATGACGCCAGAGCAAAGAGAAGCTTACTTGAAAGAAAAGCAGGAAAATATGAAACTGAAACGAAACGCAAAAAAACAGGAGATTAAGCAGAAAAACAGAGAAAAGTTGAGGGAGTTAAAAAAGGTTAGTGTGTTGTTAGCATCAAGTTTAGAAAATGTGAAATGCTGTAAAATGAAGTTTGTTGCAGAGAAATAATACAGCAGGTATTTTGGAGGCACACTTTTAAGTTTCATATGATGAGATAAGAAAATCTAGATTTACAAAGTCTTCAATTTGTTGTATGTAGCTTTCACAAAGTGCTTGATATAATTTCAATACATGTACATCCTGTCTTTATGAGACATGCTACTTCTCATCCAGGGTTGCAGATTCCTCTGTAATAACATAATTCACTTCAAACCTTGCAGAAATATGAAGATCAAAGTTTGACCGGCAAGCCACTTCCTCCCCCCAAACTTGTGCCCACCCCTGACGGACTTCCTAATGAAATGTTTGGTGAAGTGACGTTTATTGCGGAATTCATCAACTGTTATTCTGGCCTGCTGATGCCTGATGAAAGTTACCCCATACGGACGGGTGAGAGGTTTACAACATTTACTTGTAGAAAATACGGGGAGTAGGAGATCCAACGTCCGTGCAAAGAATTCAGCGAAGTTCTGTGTTACCCAGCAGACAGATTCCACAAGGAATGTACACGAGTCCGGCCATAAATAGAAGAGTAATCAAAAGGAAAAGATACCATGACAACGTCGTGCTGGGTGTTACGGCTTTTATCCAAGTTTACTTCAAACTAGTCAGGTTCTGATGCTGACACGCCTAGTGTGTCGAAACTAGTCAAGTAAACTTGGATTAAAGCCGTTATACCCAGCACGCCGTTGTCATGGTCATTTTTACCTTCTGAATATTAACTCTTGTGTTAACAATGAGATGTTCCTGCTTCAATAGCAAAGAGATTTATTGGGGGGGGGGGGGGGGGGAAATATTTTTATTATTTATATAAAATATATCTTTGATGCAGTAAAACCAGGGTATAAACCTGGAATGTTTTAACCTGCTGTTAGAGGAGACATTACGAAGCCTCTATGTACGGTCAAAACTAATTATTTTTAGGTTATCAGTATCATAGGTGTTTTATGCCATTTTGTTTCATCTTTTCATCCCAAAAAACCCCCAAGAATTATAGTAACTTTTAATTCTGGTTGTTTTGTCTTTTTGCCTAGAGAAGGCTAGATTTAACAGTTTGCTTAAATCTTGTTCATCTTTTCACCCTAAAGAGATGAAAAGACAAAAAATCCCATGCAAAAAGACAAAAACAATGAAATTGCTCAAAATCAACCACTGTTAAATCAAAGCAAATAAAATAGGGCAAATGGCCCCTCAGTATAAAATTTGCGTGTTGTCATGTAAATTTAGACTATATATATTTCGTTTTATTCAAGATCATTGTACTTAAATTTAGAGTTTAATCATACCTGTTTGACATTAGAAGCAAATAATGTAAATGCAATCTGTCTTGTAATTCAAAGTAAAGACTCGTCCATTACTGGCACATTGGTGGAAGTCTCGAGCCATGTCTTGTAGAAATGACCAGTTCCCCAATCTCTATTTCAGATGCATTAATGAAAGCCCTGTCCTGTGGAACTGATGGGTTCACGTATCTGTCCCGTGCCTTAGTGGTTCTGCTTCAGACTCTCCTACAGGATGAAATCGCAGAGGTATGCTTCGTGAAGGCCTTGTTCTGGTCAACAGTAATGATAATAGACATGTAGTACGAAAGGTGGTCGGATGGTGTAGTGGATAGATATGAGCACACTTGCCTTTCACCAAGGCAGACGGGGTTCGATTCCCCAATTGGACATGAAAAGGTATGGGGTTACCTTCCCGAGGTTTTCTCGAGGTACTCCAGTTTCCTCCCACATCCAGACCAACAAGAGTGATTAATATAAGTTGAAATAGCTTGTTTCATAATTGTTGCAAAGTAAATAACGTTTATATTTATTTATATAGTACTTCAGGAATCTGTTCACTTTTAGCATCACATCAAAATGATAATATAGGAAAATAATGTTGGCTTAACAATGATCTAGGTGTTGTGTCATTCATTATGAACCCTGCATGTAAAAATCACCATCAAGTGAAAAGACCTATTGTTTTTGTTATGTTTCTTATTATTAGTAGTATTAAGTTGGAGGTTTCCCTATGTCAGGATTTTTGTTTTTCTGGGGTCACTGCAAAAACTTCAAAAAACATCTTTGATGTAACTTGCTGGTGGATTTCATTAAATGATCCTTTGATGATGTGGATCAGAATTTGTACTCGATAAGGGGCTGACACCCTGTGTGGCTGAGGGTGGGGCCATATGGGTGGGGCAGGGATCAATCTAGGTTTTAGGGGAAATTACCCTGTTTCAGATTTGAGGGAAATTAAAAGTTTTGATACAAGGCTCTAGTGTCATGAAGGTAAAAGATAAATGTTTTGTCTGACATACATGTGTGCAGTATATTTCAATTTTTAAACAATTTTAAGCTTAAAATTGTAGAACTTTTGTTTAAAATAAGTTGAGAAAATGTATATAATTATGCAGTATTATGCATTTTAACTGTTGAACCTTAAAGAAAGAAAACATATTTAGGGGAAATATTTTGAAGAAAAAACGGCTATTTTCTTGTTGAAATAGGTGAATTTTGAAGCACACAGGGGGAATTTTAAAGCACAGGGGAATTTTCTTCTGTAGGGAAAACTACCCATAAACGGTAGTGAATCAAGTCTAGATTGACCCCTGTGGGGTCACTGTAAAAAACATCTTCTCTGAAACTTACTGGTGGATTTTGACCAACATTTCATTTAAATAATCCTCAGATGCTAAGAAGGGGCCGACACCCCCGGGGAGGGGCTCATAAGGAGGATAGTTAGTGCTGTACCTTAAACAATTATATTTTAGATTTCTTCTCAAAAACTGTCTGTCACAGTTTGATCAAACTGGTGATCACAGAGTGCAAAATGTTCAAAAAAGATATTTTCAGAAACTTATGGGTGGATTTTCAATAATATTTAAATTGAGACTACCTTCAAAGATTGTCCATGGCATCACATTCCTATGGTCAATATTCCCTCGGTCAGGTGGTGGTTGCCGTCTACCTGTGCCTCCCCAGTAATTTCGTGAGTTCCATTTTTAATTTGTATCTTGTTAGGAATCACAGTGGTACACTGTCTCGTTTCATAGGGAGATATTTCTTACCACCTTTTAAAAACATTCAGGGCTTTTTGGGGGTTTCTTGAACCTTTCCTTCCCTTGAGCGTGTCTCAAAATTGCTCCGTTATCCTGGTCTTCCTTGATTCAGAGTCTCCACTATGGTAAGACGATTTCGCACACAAAAGTTATGATAATTATTACCGAAATGAAATTGAGTTTTTTTAATGTAAAAACATTTTTCATGATGGAATACTTACCATAACTTTCTCCCCTAACCCATTCATCCTGGTTGGACGCAATTAAAGGGTTTTGAGAAAGGCAGATCACTTGGTGTCTCTACCGTCGAGACATGGGTCACATGCACGGTGGGGGAAGGGAAGACAGGATTTTTTTTAACCCACATAGATGTGTGTAGTTACTGAATATGCATACTAAAGTTATGGTAAGTATAACAATCAAATCAGAATTGGTTTTCCATTAAAGTACCTCAAGTTTTCCTATATAGTTATCACCTAAAAACTACATCAAAGAGAAGCCTATTCTCAGTAGACCCAATGAAATCACTGAGGGATAGGCGTTGTTTCAAAATTTGTGAATAGATTTTAAAACTTTGTAATACGTGTATTAAACAGACTTTACACCATGTATTTATTGAAGGATTACCAAGAGATCCGAGTGCCACTATCGGACATCCCAGTGAACGCCTGTACTGCCTCTGAACTGACCAGACTTTGTTTGAGGCGACAGGACGATGATAATGATCATTACGCAGTTGAAGATGACATGGAAATCGTAAGTTTATCGGCTTATTTGTTGATTTATGTCGGGTCGAAAATCATAATCCAGATAAAAATGTGTATAAAAAATATTTGGTGATGAAAGATTTTACAGCTTGCTTTCACAGAATCAGAACAACAAGAACTTCTTGAATTGACATGTTGTATTTTGAATGGACATATCTATTACATGATTAAGTGTGCAATCATGAAAATGATGTGTTTTTAGATCAGTTGAACTTGAAACATTTGTGCAATGGTTGAATGGGGTATTTCAACTTCACATCTCAACGATGAAAAATTGTTAAGGCCTCTTGTATTGTTCTTCATGTTTTGTTATAATGTCCTTGTAAAGTTACATTATTTTTTTATTATTTTTTTGAAAAGCCATTAAAACTGTTATTTTATTTTTACTGTTCAAATTGCATGCTTTCATGTACTTCATGACATGATGTATATATCAAGACACAAATATTTTTAAGTGCAGCCTTACCAGACAAATCAGTATTGGTCATGATGTATATATAGGATCTTACATGAGTTTCCATTTCATATGAGATTTATGGAACGAGTCTTAAGAATTTTTCAATTTTGCGACCCTCTGGCGAGCTAAAATAAAAAAATTGTGACGAGTTTCATAAATTTCATATGAAATGAAAACGACTGATGATCCTTTTTATCACATAATCAAGATTTGTGGCATTTATTCATGTAAAACGACAATTTTCATGTAACCATGAAGTGTAAAAAGCCGCCATTTTAACTCCAGTGCTTAAGTCTGTGACGTCATGTACTTGTCCTAGGCGTGATGAAACATACAGCCAATCACAGGACTGATTGTTCAAATTGCATGGGTTAATACGCAAACAAATATGACATTGGTAACAGCACATTATGTGATAAATTGCTTTTCAAGTCTGATGCGTTGATCCAGCTGCTGGAAACACAGGAGATGTATCAGCTGGAGCTGGCTCAGAAGATACAGATACTAAAAGGCCTTTGTCTGAGGATCATGGGCACCTACTCTGTGCAGGACTTCATGGAAGAGAAACAGACAGAGTCCTCTAAGCTCTGGTCAGTACTGCACATAATGGTGTTTTTACAAAGTAATTACTAGAGGCGATGCTAGTCACCTAAAAATGATGTCATTTTAAAATTGTGAATAGGTGTGGCAAAGAAATATGATAAGTTAGAATGGCCATTATATGCTTCCTAGTATTTGAAATCCATTACATCCGAGAAGATTGTAGATATATATCTCTTGAGACAATTGTATTGGAAAAGATTTAGAGAAAATTCAGTACAGATTCAAGATTTCTCGATGGAGTGAAACAAACACTGGAGAAGTAAGTATAAGGGCTTTCCTTAGAACCACAACTTTGCAAAAATGAATTGTTTAACTTCGCTTTTCACCTCACATGATAGCTCATGTGAGCTATTGCCATCCGTCTTCGTCCATCGTTGTGCATAAACTTTTAACATTTTGACAAAAAAACACTGAATCAATTTCAATGAAATTTTGCAGGATTGTTCCATAGTCAAAGACAAACTGAAATTGTGAATTTGTGGCCAGAGGGGAGGGGCCAAAAGGGGTCAGATTGGCATAGTTATTATAAAACTTAAATAGTTTTAAAGGTCAAGGTTACTGTTTCTTAGCATAGCCTTTTGGGGTAGTCCTTATTTCGAAATCCAAGTGTCTAATCTTTTTTAAATTTGACATGGTGATACACAGTGACATGTAGATTGTAGATGTGCAATAGGGGTTTAAATGAATTTTAAGGGTCAAGGTTAATCAGTAATAACGGACCAATGGGGGGGGGGGGGTAGATGGGGTCTTGCTGCCTGCCATCTTAATCTGTTCTTTCGTTGGCTGTACCTTAATTATAACAAACACTTGGCACAGTATTGTTGTATAATGCTGAAATGACTCGATTTAAGTTATATGTTGTGTATCTACAGGAGGAAGAGACTGGCTGTGCTTAAAGTTAAGAATACTCAACTAAAGAAAGAAAAGGAACAAAACAAAAAAGAAAAAGCTGAGCAAGCTCTGAAAGAACCAGAAAAGAAGAAAGTGAAAGAAGAGAAGGAAGAGAAAAATCCAAGTAATATTATATAATTATTTGATAGATAGATGCTTAAAGCAGATCAACACACTAAGTTTACCAGTGAAGTTTTGGGACCTGAATTAAAATATCTAAAGGATGACTAGAGCTGCTTTTATAGAGGCAGAAATATCTTGTTTAGAGATGATAAGTAAGTAGAAGGGATGTCAACAGCAACACTGTCCGGGATTTTAAGCAAAATTGTCAACATTCTGTGGTAATATTATTACAGATACAGAAACAGTTATTTTGGCAGTACATGTAGTGTTATGATCTTCAGGAGTAAACGTGTTCTGTTAAAAGGTTATAAATATTCATTAATTATTTTATCATTATATTGTAAGAAATTATGTCTGTGTACATGTTTGTATTACCAAGGGGAACATTTCAAACATTTTCACCAGCTTGTTATAATAAACAACTTAAACGAATTTCGCTCATTGTAAACTTGTTGACAGATGTTATAACTGTTTTTGAAATATGTCCTTTACTTGAACCTTGATAAAGCAGCCAACATCATGATCTCTCGTAGGTTACCGCTTAAAACGGGTTAAACTGTACTATTAAAATAAAAATATTTGTGTTTGCGTCTTAAAAATATAAATAAAAAAAAATAAAAAAAATTACCCTGCCATCGAAGCCCATTTATTTTTTATGCACAGAATTAATTTACTAGGATAGTTTTGCAATTTTTTAATAATCCTTGTCACCTTCCTCAGATTTGACAATATCACACTTCTATGGACAAACCAGTGGTGATCAGAGTGACTCCTCCAAGCCGGCCACCCCGGAACCAGCAGACTCTGCAGAGGATGGCGGTGACTTGGCTTCGGTTGTGAAACGACGAAGGATGAATACTGCTAAGGCTGCTGCTGAAAGGGAACAGCGGCAACATGAGACGAGGAAACAGTAAGACATTTCAAAACTGAGATCAGAATGAGTATCCATATATTTCATAATTCTTAAAAAGGAATGCCTTTTTGGCTCGCCTAGAATAGGGGGGGGGGGGGGGGGTGGGGAAAGCTAATGAAGTCATCCTGGCCACACACCACACAACTTCAGACTGAAGGTAACTTTTTCAGACAGTGCTGGATCACCACAGTCAAGAGGCTGTTGACTATTAGTTTTAAGTTGAGGCATTTATATGAAGTGTAAGCAATGTGCTAAACTATTAAGCAACTTCTTCTGTAAAAGACCCAGGCTGATAGTATTTTGCCAGTATCAGCAGGGATGAAGGGCTACCAAGTTCGTTCAAATATGTGACCTTTACTTATAGTCTAAATTTTTTTAAACTTTTAAAGACCTCTTCTGAATAACCTAAAATGGCTAGGGTGATTACATATAGCCAGTAATCAACCTTGTTCATGTGAATGACCTTTACCCTCATTATGGTCACATATTGACCTCATTGATAATAGGGTGGTGATATTTGGCAAGTTGCATGCAGGGATGAAGTGAAGCATGGTCAACTTAATGACATTGTTACTCTTTCAAGGTTCCAGGTGTCAAATATATTCAAATTTTAACAGCTTCTTTTGAACAACTTACAGCCATAGGTACCGATATTTTGTCTGTAGCTTTGTATTAGACCACTTTATACAGTTATACAGAGACTAGTACTAGGTGAATGATGCAGGCCCATGAGGCCTCTCATTTGATATTTTAGGTGTCAAAAACAGCCTTATTGAAGTTTTTGTGCAGTGTTGGATCACCACACTCAGTAAGCTGTTGAATATTGCACGGTTATGTGTTGAAATATTAGTCATATTCGGGGCCAAATGAGCTTGCTTTAAATTCAACTTGCTGTAGAATTGTGGAATTACTTCTGTCCATCTGTCAACAATTTCTGAAAACAACTTCTGCTAAACTGCTGATTGGAATTTGGACACATTTGACTGGAAGTATACCTAGGTGGTGGGGATTCAAAATTGTACAAGAGGGGCTGAGGGGCGGGGCAAGAAAGGGGTAGTTTGGCCATATTGCTTTAAGCTTCTTTTTCTCTGGAAACAAATGAAGGATTTCAACCATATATGGTTAAGAGCATTTTTTCGGTAGTTGAGGATTCAAAATTGTAGCAGTTGTTGGGCTGATCCCAAGGTCTGAGGGGCGGGGCCAAAAAGAACATTTTAACTTTGGCCCCACCCTTAGGCCGGAACTTAATTTCTGGGCCATTACTTCGAAATTGTTGGGATTCCCACCCCATAAGCATTTAAACCATTGCTGGTCATAAAAATCCAGGCATCTTTTATGCCTTCTAGGCCTCTTGTTCAAGAAATACGAAAAGGCCTTTCTTCAAATTTTAATTGTTAATTCCCATTTGACCCTAGCTGTGAATGGTTCATTTTGAGAATGATCACAAAAGATGAAGGCAGCCATCTTGGATTTTGAGTGTTCAGGCTTGTTTGCGCTATTTGTCAAGAAGCACTGCACAAATATTACCTGAACTTTGAATGTAGGTTCTTGTTACACATTAATTGTTATGTAAATAAAACAAATGTCGACCTCATTTTATAAAAACAATGTCGAGAAAACCTCAGTATGAAGTCATGATTAAAAATTACTGCAAGACCCATTTACGGTTTATATTACTGAAACTTACAGATAGAAGAACAAAAAACTGAAATATAACCAATGAAGATTTCATTTGTATGGCTTCTAAAAGACAAAGAGTTGGCATAAATCACCATAATGAAACACCCTTATCACAATTTCAGGTCTGAAAACCCCACAAGTTTTGGCAGACAATTAACCCAGACATCATGCTTCATACAAGATGTTTGTTTCAAATGAAATCAACACTTGTCAAGCTTAAAATCACTATTCACATCACAGTTATTTTCACTTTGTAATCTACAGGAAAGAAAAGGAATATGAAGAGTACAGGAAACAGAAACAAGAAGAAGACTTTGAAAAAGACTTTGTTGTAAGTTATGAAATGAAATGAAATGATATAACTTTCACATACTTTTGCTGTTTTTAAGATACTGTTCATATATTGTCTCGACTTAAAGCCACAGATCATCCATTTGTGTATTCCAGTTGGCAGTATCTCCCGGCCTCTGGCCCTTTGGTTGTGATGAATTGAAACATTCAAAGAACCATTAAAATGAAAACTTGTCCCAGGAACATAATTTCAACACTGTTGAGATCCCTTCCCCATAACCATAAATACAATGTCTCTACAATTAGACAAACAAACATTGTCAGTAGCTGAGTATAAAGAAGAGAGAAAATATTTGCTACCAGAATTGGTCCTTCGATCTGCTCCCACCGTTTTAGGGGACTTAATCCCTTTGTCGTAACATGGAAACCTTTGAGATCCCCATCCTATAACATTACTTACAATTGCTGAGCATAAAAATTTGGATACATTAGTACTTATGCTACCAAGACTTGCCTTGGGGCAGGCCCTATCCCTGGGATCTTTTTTGCAATACATGTACTACTTTTAATGAGATTGCTTAAAATATCCAGGTGAGCAATACAGGCAGTTTGGGCCTCTTGTTTGATCTATACAAATGTCAAGTATGAGAGTACCTGTTACAATCTATATTTCAGGGTTTCAAGGTAAAGGCCAATGTCGCCATTACTGTATATAGATAAAAAATTGACATCTAACTTGGTGACATCACTTTAACAACTTAATATGTGCAGAGAATTCTGATGAAACTTTGTACAAAGTTTGAGTATGAAATACCTCCAATGAGCTACTTATACAGAGGTCACCATTACTGTATATAGAGATAGTCCAAGGTCAACTTTACTATTTGGAGAATTTATTGAACTATGACATTAATTTTCACATGAACTGAGGCTAATATATTAGTCTTACAAACAACTGTTAGTTTGATATATATATACATATATAAAAAAATGTGAAGAAATTTTACATTAGAAAACCAAGCAAGATATTACAACCAAACTGGCTATTTGTGCTAGACTAAATCTAAGGGTTTCCTGGGAAATATTGAAATTCTTCATCATCGAAGAATATTTTGACAGTGATATGTATGATGATGTCATTTTGTTTCCATTTAATGTTCAAACTGTGTTTGTTTTAGAATGGAATTGCCCTTGCTAAGTCTGTACTTCGCCATACACCAATAGGAACCGACAGGAACCACAGTCGATACTGGGTTTTCTCCGGAGTCACTCCTGGGCTCTATATAGAGAAAGGTGAGTGCCTAACGGTGGGCGCCAAGATCCCTATGGGATCTCTTGTCCTTTAATTTGTTTTGTTTTTTTTATAAAAAAGAACTTTTTTGCATTGCAAATTGTAAGGATATGGAACAATCTTCCAGAAAATGGGATATTAGCACCGAATGTTAACAATTTTAAAAATAAACTGGATAAGCATTGGAAGAACCAGGAACTCCTGTATAATTATTAAACTCAGTCAATGTTATGATTTTGAGTCCGATGTAGAGGATCTTTATAGATAAATAAACTTAACTTATGTTTTATTTTGAGAGTGATCATAAAGAACAAGATGACCGTAGGAAGAACTTCACAGATCAATGATCAGTTTTATTTCTTTCACATTAAGTACTGTACTAGTAAATAGGTGAAACAACAAACTCACTTTGAAGGTTGTTTTTTATACACAGCAGTATAAAGCTTAGATCGTAAGGTAATAGGATTGTGTCGCCATTTCTCAGTAGAATTTCTTCAAATTTTGTAGTTATATTGCTTTGAGGTAAAGAAAATTTTCTGCCACAAAAAAATTATAGGTTGTCATAATTTTAAGGAATTTAAATGGAAATTTATGTAAAAAGGAGTGACTTTTGAAAAAAAAAATGAAAGACAATTTTTTGCAAAATAATGTCAATAAAAATGATACTGCCATAGATAGGTATTGCATTAATGTATATTAATTTTATAAATGCTGAAATTATGTCAAATAAACTGTCTATAAACGATTAAAAATTGACTTTTTATAATAAAACCATATGCACATAGTAATTGCAGGTAAGAGTTATCTTTCTTGAAAAATTTCACAGTAGTGAAATAGGTAGCCGGTTTCCTGAAGTACAGAAAAATGGATACATGTGGCTCATTGATAAAAAAATCTGAATTAATGCCTGCATTGCTTTGAACTACTTTAATAAAATTGAGAGAAAACACTGTTCTTTCAATAATAAATATACAATATTCATCAGTTTAATATTAAACATTAGAATATGCGGAAATTGTGATACTGTCTCCCTACATTGGATTTTCAACTAGGGATGTACTTCCTACTTCTGTTTATCAATACACTCCTATGACCTTAAGTAACCTCCAGGTGCATTTACTGTTTACATGACTCAATCAAACAGATAAAAGAGAGAAAAGTGAAAAGATCAAACTGATGTAGAACGAATGAAGATGGTACGATTGTGGGTGCCAAAGATCCCTCTAGGATCTCTTGTCCCTAGAATTTGTTTTGTTGTTTTTAAAGCTTAGTTACAGTACAGTTTTGTTTACTTTGATAGGCTGGGTAAATGTATCTAAAGGTACAGTACAGTTTTGTTTACTCTGATAGGCTGGATAAATGGATCTAAAGTTACAGTACAACTTTTGTTTACTTTGATAGGCTGGATAAATGTATCTAAAGCTACAGTACAGTTTTTGTTTACTTTGATAGGCTGGGTAAATGTATCTAAAGTTACAGTACAGTTTTTGTTTACTTTAATAGGCTGGGTAAATGTATCTAAAGTTACTGTACAGTTTTTGTTTACTTTGATAGGCTGGGTAAATGTATCTAAAGTTACAGTACAGTTTTTGTTTACTTTGATAGGCGGAGTAAATGTATCTAAAGTTACAGTACAACTTTTGTTTACTTTGATAGCCTGGGTAAATGTATCTTAAGTTACAGTACAGTTTTTGTATCTAAAGTTACAGTACAGTTTTTGTTTACTTTGATAGGCGGATTAAATGTATCTAAAGTTACAGTACAACTTTTGTTTACTTTGATAGCCTGGGTAAATGTATCTTAAGTTACAGTACAGTTTTTGTATCTAAAGTTACAGTACAGTTTTGTTTACTTTGATAGGCTGGGAAAATGTATCTAAAGTTACAGTACAGTTTTTGTTTACTGTGATAGGCTAGGTAAATGTATCTAAAGTTACAGTAAAGTTTTTGTTTACTTTGATAGGCTAGGTAAATGTATCTAAAGTTACAGTACAACTTTTGTTTACTTTGATAGCCTGGGTAAATGTATCTTAAGTTACAGTACAGTTTTTGTATCTAAAGTTACAGTACAGTTTTTGTTTACTGTGATAGGCTAGGTAAATGTATCTAAAGTTACAGTAAAGTTTTTGTTTACTTTGATAGGCTAGGTAAATGTATCTAAAGTTACAGTAAAGTTTTTGTTTACTTTGATAGGCTAGGTAAATGTATCTAAAGTTACAGTACAGTTTTGTTTACTTTGATAGGCTGGGTAAATACATCTAAAGTTACAGTACATTACTTTGATAGGCTGGGTAAATGTATCTAAAGTTACAGTACAGTTTTGTTTACTTTGATAGGCTGGGTAAATGTATCTTAAGTTACAGTACAGTTTTTGTATCTAAAGTTACAGTACAGTTTTTGTTTACTTTGATAGGCTGGGTAAATAAGGACATAGATTACTGTACCAGAGAGGAAGGGTCAAGTAACTGGGACAGTGACGACTCGGATACCTCCACCAACATGGCAAATAAGGACGAAGAAAAGCAAAATGTCAAAACCACGTAAGTCTGTTGTTGGATATTTTGTTCGAAAAGTAATTCTGGGCTAGATTTATTCATAATACCTTTTTAGGTCACCTGAGCTTTGCTCAAGTGACCTATTCTGATCGCTTTTCGTCCGTCGTTGTCCCGGGCCATCCGTTCTCCCTTGGGGAGGGGGTAAAGTTTATATAGGGAAATGACACTTTTGGGTATATTTTGTTAATTTTCAGTTGGAAAATATCCTTACTTGGTGAGAAAGATGGTATCAAATTGTAAAATAGGGATTCCTGCTCCAACCTCAGGGGCCAGGGCGGGGCCTCAATGAGAAAGTTAACCAATATTTCAAAAATCTTCTTCTCCGACTCAGAAGTACTGCAGTCAATTTCTCTGCATGTATGGAAAGAACATCAGGGGCTTTGTTTAAATTGTACATTTCAGTACCCCCGGGCCATCCGTTCTACTTTGGGGAGGGGGTAAATATTACTAAAATTTATATAGGGAAATAACACTTTTGGGTATATTTTGTTCATTTTCAGTAGGAAATTATTCTTACTTGGTGAGAATCATCCTTGGAGGAAGATGGTATCAAAATGTAAAATTTTGATTTCTGCCCCCACCCCAGGGGACAGGGCGGGGCCCAAAAGGGAAAATTAACCAATATTTCAAAAATCTTCTTCTCCAGATTCAAAGGTACTATAGTCAATTTCTCTGTATGTATCATCAATGACTTTGTTTAAATTGTAAATTTCAGTATTCCTGGGCCATCCGTTCTCCTTCGGGGAGGGGGTAAAAGTTTATATAGGGAAATAACACTTTTGGTTATATTTTGTCCATTTTCAGCAGGAAATTATTCAAACTTGGTTGGAATGATTATGATGACAATTAGATGGTATGAGAAAATAAGATCCTGTCCCATCCCCAGGGGCTGGATGGGTGGGGCCCAAATGGGGATTATGGTTAAAAGTTAAAAAAATCTTCATCAAACTCAGTTACCTTAATAACCTTAATTGTAAAATTCATTATCCCCCAGGTCATCTGCTCTCCCTTTTGGAGAGGGTATAATTCTCAATAGCAAAATAATTATTTGAATAGTTTTGTAAGTTGTTATCCTTTGGGTACATGTATTTTATTTCACTTTGTTTACATGTTGATTTCCACATCACATCTCAACAATGAAATTGAGCTACTAGTACCTATAATATGACTCAGGTGACCACTAAGGCCCTTGGGCCTCTTGTTTAGTTCACCTGCCCGGATGGCAAGTGAGCTTATACTGTGGCACGGCGTCCGTCGTCAGTAACTTTTCATTTAAAACGCTACTAGTCCTGAACACCTCAGTGGATTTTTAACTTCATTTGGCCATGAGTATCCTCGGCCAAATGGGATTCAACTTTGTAGGGCATGTAGAGGAAAATCTTCCTCCGTCTGTTAGTGATTGGTTGATGATCGGTAATAATCGAAAATTGATCGGTTTGCCCTTTCCGATTATCGATTACAAATTCCATAATCGATATAAAATTATAAAATTATAAACCAATTACGCAATCGATTGTGATTTTAAACCGATTGTCCGTCACTACCATCTGTACAAATGAAGGGAATTCAAATTTCATGCAAAGCAAAGCATGAAAAAGGACTCAATTTAGCATATGTATTTATCAATACAATTTTCACTTAATGATCACTTAAATATCTACTTGTGCGACACAGGCCCTCTGGGTCTGTTGTTCATGACTTTTTGTGCCTCAAAGAGTTAAGTCATTGTAACTAGGAATCATTTGTATTTTTTTTAGTGTTCCACGTTTTGGCCAGAACTTATGGTTTACCTACTCCGGTGTAAAAGAATTAGATACCTTAATAGACAATCTACATCCACAAGGCTACAGGGAAAGCAGCCTGAAAAATGAACTCAAGAAGCGATATGCAGAAATATCTGTAGGAATTTTCCAGAGAACAAGGTAATACAGTGGAACCAACTTATCAAATTATTGGATATTATTATAACCCGCTTATTGTAATATTTGTTTCTATGAACCAAATTTTCTCTGTATAAATTCAGTTAAGAAATATGTTGATATGATAATGATGAAATGTGGGACCCTGCTTGTTATAATATATTTTTTCTGGTGTGAACGGATTTTGTAAGCTTAAAACTCGGGCAAGTTGTCTGTGTGTGACACCTGAACAATAGGTTCTGTTAATTAACTATGCATCATCTGAGGTGATCATCCAGGTAATTTTTTTCACACCTCGCTTCACCCCAGCTAGAGGAAACAAAAGATCAACCTTCCAGTGCTGGTTATATATTTTAGTCTAAACAAAGCACATGCAGTATATATTATCAAATGGAAATGATAACCAATATTTTCTGGCACAATTTTTTTAACAAAAAACGATCATGCATTTTTAGCCCACCTAAACAGGAAATTTTCATGAATTGGCATCAAACGTTGTATATAGATACATTGTACAGCAAGGGAAGATGTCAAGTCACATCCTAAAACAAGATCACTGTGATCTCAACTTCACCTTTGACCTTGGCCACAAGTCCTAAATTACAGTGTAATACAGGTTTTGCCCAGCATATTTTCACCGTTATGAATGGGCTTCAAACTTTGTAGACTTTTGCAGGAAGTTGGGATATCATTGAGGCCCATGTACACGCTTCAAGTTAAATTATAGTTTCACTTAAATTTCCCCAAATATTGGTAATGCTAATAAATACCTATTTATACCAGATTGAAAAATTCCTGTTTTAAAGTGCAATAGAGACTCAAGTCTGATGAGCGAATCAGTTGCCACATTTGCTGTTTTTTCACTGCTACTGGAGCTTCCCTGTCTCAAGAGTAAAATAATTGCCACATTTGCCATTACTTCCCTGCCACTAAAGCCTCCCTTACGACTAAACATCAACTCTTCTTTTTGTCCATCAGAGCCAGTTGTGAGCTAAGGGATTCAGACGGTGACAAAGAAATGCTGGATGGATTCAGAAAGGTAATACAACAAACTTAACTTGAAGTGTTTCTGGGGGGGGGTTGGAAATGAGACTGAGGCCCGTGGCTTTTAAGAAAACCAGTGTGAGGGAGTGTAAAATTATAAAATTATTGTGTAGTACCTTGAACGCCATGAAGTAGAAGTGAGACTAAGGTGTTGTTTTTCCGGCGACGACGGTGGTGGCGGCGTCAACATTTAGTTTTTGCGTTTAAGGAAGAGACGGGCAGGAATCACATGACCAAACACTCAATACACTGTAATGATATATAAATTGGTTGGACAATCCTTTTAACATGAGGTCAAAAACCAAGGTCAAATAAATATTGTTTTTAATAATTATTGTTGTGTGAAATAAGATATATATCCTTTCCAAGTCTTATGTCTGATTATTGTGAAAGATGAGACTATTATTGATCAAGGATTATTAACCGATGAAATGATGATTTCGCTTTGAGGTCAAATGCCAACTTCTTGAATAAACCTAAAGAAGGTTACCTGAAAGGATAAAATAATATTACAAAAACATGGCTGCTGCAAAACCAATGCAAACTTAAGAATCAATCGCACCTTTTGTTAAGAGTTTAAAAAAAAAAAATCCCTGGAAACATATCTTTATTTTTTTATGATTTGTAAGATGGATATAAGTTATTTTGTATACCAATTTAAAAAAGAATTCATTGTCACAATTTTTTTCTTTTCGACTTTGCAATCATTTTTTTTGCGAAATTTTATCTAAACCAGTTGCAGGCATATTGCAAAAAAGGGTAGCCATTTTTAAAAAATAAATGAATATTGTGTCTAAAATATTTCAAAATATTCATTTATCATATTGTTCTCAGATAAATTAAAAAAAAATGGTATGCATTTTTTGGGGGGTACCTAAATGACTTAAAAAGCAAGTACCAGGATGTTGTTTTACTTGTTTACAGGAACTTCTAGATACAGAGATGAAGTTACGCTATGGTGGTTTGGGAGGTGTGGATAAATTTGAGGCTTGGGAGGAAAAACTTGAGTCCGCAACAGATATTGCAGTGTTTGTAAGTTCTTGATCAACAGAGTTTTACATAATAGATGGAGGAGATATAGAACAGTGCCTTCAGTAATACCAAATATATTTCACAAGTGGGGCTAGTATTTCGATATCTTTCACAAGTGCACAGCATGGGAAAAAGATATCAAAATATAAGCCACACAAATGAAATATATTTGCTTTGCTCACATTAGACAAAAAAATCCTTTAGCAAAACTTTTTTCTTTTAGCAAATTGTAGTTACGTACATGAAGTGAAGTATATACTTACAGTAAGCTTCAGGTGATTTGGTACTGAAACCCTACGAGGGCGACAGTCGTCGCCGAGGTGAAGGGGATTAAAGCCCCACCGAGGAATCACCTGCAATACAATATAGTAGTAGAATGTGGTACGTCCGCAAAGTATCATTTACGTTCACGTCAGATTATCAGGTGGAAATCGGTCGGAATAAAACAATTATGTAAGTTAACAATAACTAACGACTCTGAGTAACACGAGGCTATCTTTCAGTTGTTTAAGCAGCACACGGTGTCTTGGATGGTCAGCTATTTGCATCAACCATTCTTTGCTCTTTTTCGTATTCGAAGTCAGAAGGTTGCATAAATTCACGAAAAAAAAATCAGCGTTCGACGACCTAGTTACAGGATGCGCTGCTGATGTAATCTAGTCAAATTGACGGACACTTGCGCATCGTTAATGTTGCCCCAAATATTGGACAAAGACGAAATGTTTATCACGTTACAAGGCAATGCTACTTTATTTTAAGCATAAATGGGTAATTTTAAATAGATCTCGTGGAACTTGTTTCTTTTTAAAAATCCACTACAAGACGGTTTCCCCCCGAGTATGTGCTGGCGTTATTTCTTTTCCGTTCGGGAAATTCAAATAGCACTTTCTGTTCGGTGTGCCGATTGTAACTGTACATCTGTGGTACCGTAGACAGGAACAGCGGCCACAGCAGACACATACATGGCAGTAGTAATATACTGTATTTTCTCTGTCCAGTTTTAATCCCCATCACCCATGACCGCGGGATAGTCACGGAGGGCTTATCCAGATTAGGCCGGTGGAACTTTATCACCTTGATATACCAGGCGTTTCTTCTGCGGCCATCCCGTTCCTACGAGCGACAGGGAGTAAAATTTGTCGCTCGGCGGAGCGACTGAGTACCAAATCACCTGACGCGTACTGTACATTTTATGTATTTGTATTACATACCATTGTTATTTATGTAATATTTAAATTATGCATTCATATACATTGATGGTCAAATATGTTGAATTGATCCGTTACTAGGGACGTACTGTTAACAAGGTTCTCATGAAAAGCCTTGAATTTCACTTTGGGCCTTGAATGCTGGTCTGTAGCTTTAAAAAGACCTTGAATTTTGCTGTGCATTATTCTATGATTATCCAGAGTCGTGCCTTTCTTAAACATTTAAAATCACCATTTTGTGTAAAATAGAAAGATTTTTAGTCAACCCTGGGGGAACCCCAGTGTCACAGGTGTCAAATATGTCAAAAACATCAAACAACTTCTTCTGAATAATAGGTAGGCATAAAATTATAATATTTGGCTGGTGTCTTCCTGAGATAGATCTCACCAAAGTTTGAAAATGAAAATGACCTCAACCTACTTTAAAGGTCACAGAGGTCAACAACATTTCAAAGGATTTGTTCTGAAGAACCAAAAGGAATGGATTCATAATATTTGGCTGGTAGTTTCAACAGATGGAGCCGACAAAGTTTGCGAGGGAAATATTTGTAGTGCAATATAAAAAAACAATTCAAGAGTATTTTGCTAGGACTGCTTAAATATTCAGGTGAGCGATACAGGCCCTCTGGGCCTCTTTGTTATTGTTACGTAGTAATAGTGCGAAGAGGTCCGAGAGTTTCCAAATGTGACTCGAATTTTAGCGAGATCTAAGCCTAACATGTGATGGCGGGCTGCTCGCATGTTTAATTTGCAATGGACACAGAATCCAATGCTAAAAGCATTGTTAAAGGAATTTGAAAGGCAACAATATATACCAAATTAAAATTTGTATTTGACATTTTCAGTGATATAAAGATTTACTTGTGTAAAACACATTTCCTCAGGTCTAATATGCAGTAGGGAACAACAATTCTATTTGTCCACTTTTCTTTCAGGGTAAATTGATGATGGAGACACAAGAAGGTGTGTCAAAGAAATTCCGTCAGGGAATCATGGGTTTGAAGAAAAAAAAGACAAAGGTCACGGAGGTGACAGAAGTGAAGGAAGAAAAGGAAGCAGAAGGTTTGGTCGCATGACATTTAATTGCCTCGCTGAAATGATTCCAATATGTAACATTAAAATTGAATTAAAAATCTTCCTCTTCTAATCTGTTAAATCTGTTAAATCTGTTAAATCTTCTCTACTGAGGTTTCAGTCATGTTCAAATCTCATTTTGAACTAGTATAGTGTTTTTTTTGGTTTTTTAATATCACAAATTATGATCAATTTAAAAAGCAAGCATGCATCTGAAAAATGTATTAAAACACTAGATGCACTCTGTTCAACTTAATGTCCTTGTTCTACTTTCAAGGTCACAGGCGTCATATGTTTAAATCTTTTAATAGGCTCTTATGAATCAAACACTGATATTCTTCCTGTAGCTGAATTTTAGTCCACTTTTAAGATTACAAGTGTGAGATTAATACCAGGTGAGCGATTCAGGCCCATTGAGCCTCTTGTCTCTTGGATGACCCTGACTGCAAAGCTTGGACAGGTTGATCAAAGAACCATTTCTCAAACTCCATTCATACTTTATCACTTTTCTTTTTTCTTCAGTATAGACCAAAACTACACAAAATCGCTCTTTTACTTGAATAAATCTATAGTTCCAGTGTTCCCTGGTCCTGACCATTTGAGTAGGGAACATATACTTTCACAAATACTTTATTCTCAGAAACATTCTTTGGAGACAAAGTGACTGCCTTAATAGATGGTTCATAAATTTATTAGCTCATCTGGTCCAAAGGACCAAGGTGAGCTTATGCCGTAGCGTGATGTTCGTCGTTCGTACGTCAACAATTTCTTCAAACGTCTTCTTTTTCTAAACCACTGATTGGAATTCAACCAAATTTGACTGGAAGCATCCCTAGGTAGTGGGGATTCAAAATTGTACAAATGGTGGGGCTGACCCCCCCAGGGGCTTTAGGGGCGGGGCAATTTGGCTTCATTGCTATAAATGACTTCTTCTGTAGAACTATGCACTGGATATAAATCATATTTGGTAGAAAGAATTCATGGGAGATGGAAATGGTTGAGATCCCCACCCTTTAACCACATATACAATTGTTGATTATTAAGAAAAGACTGCACATTTGCTTCCAGGGTGACTCTGGGGTCTGGTGCCACCATTGGAGACTTAACCCCTAGGTTATAACTTTGAAACGGTTAAGATCCCCACCCCAAAACTATATATACAATTGTTGGGCATAAAGAGAAAAATGCTGTCATGATATTAGAATTGTCCCTGGGATCTGCCGCACCCTTGCAAACTTAAAGTTTAAAATTTTTATAGGTGTTTTTGTTGTGATCAAAGGAGGGGCATTTTTTTTTGGGGGGGGGGGGGGGACTGTGTAGACTATCCTTGGGCAAAAGGAATGCAAATTTGTATTAAAAAGGCGTTACTTTTAGGGGGCAGAGGGACGGCCCCAATAGGGGAAATTGAGATTAATGTAAAAAAAATCCTCACCAATTCATGGGGGCAGAAAGAAGGGACCAAATGAGGGACGGGTGTTGCTGAGAGACAGAGCCAATATTTGGAAATAGTTGTTGCTTTATTATCCATCTGGGCCTCTTGTTTTAAAATAATTGTTTGCATTTATTATAAAGAAAGTAGTGTTGTCCCGATGATCGATTATAATCGATATCTAATCGGAATGGTAACCAATTCCCGACAATCGATTATAAGAGGTCAACATCAATGATTGTTTTCAAAACCGGAAGTGCAATCATGCTATCAAAACCGGAAGTGCAATCATGCTATTTAAACATAACTAATTGCAAAAAAAAGTGTTAGGGTACGCTTCAAAGTTGAAATTTCATTAGTAGTGTTAATAAAAGGAATAGCCATGCCATTGTTAAAGAAAAAGTACTATTTGTTTAAGGATTATGTAACGGTAGGCTAACGGATTATATCTGATCATGGATGTTGAAATCTCAACCGATTCCCAACACTAAAAGAAAGTAAGATACTGAACGTTTTTATGGCGTGTTGTAGAGGATGAAGAAGAGGAGAAGGAGATAGCTGGAATAGTGGAGTGGCGTGAGGCGGTGGAGAGTGCATCAACTCTGTCTCGACTTCATGTTCTCATGGCCATCCTCGACAACAGTATTAAATGGGAAAAGTCAGCAGAGAATGCGGTGAGTGATTTCTCTCTCTTCATATTGTTCACCTTTCTGAATGATTTGTAGCTTCCAAACAAATTTGCTTTATTCAACAGTGTAGACTAAGTTTAAAGAAAAAAGAATATACATTCTTGTTTAATGGTAATGTTTACTTGTTCACATTGTGTGGCTATTTTTCAAAATATGAACATATTTTGGTATAAGGTATACAGAAATGACCTATGGTAATCTTGGTTTTTTTTGAAAAAGGGATATAGACAAATTTGCAAGATAGTGATATTTGCTTTAAAAAAGCTCCTGGAAAAAATACTCAAATTATTTTGCACAAAAATCATTATGTGTTATTGTGATAGTTCCTGTAATGAGGCGTACATGTAGATTCGAAGATTTAGTCTTTGATTTTGATAACTGTCTATTGTCTCCACAGAAATGTAAAATATGTCGTAAAAAAGGAGAGGAACAGAAGCTGCTGTTGTGTGACGAGTGTAATCAACCTTTCCACATGTATTGTCTGAGACCTGCCCTCATAGAGATACCCAGGGGAGACTGGTTCTGTGCCTCTTGTATGGTAAGTGTCTGGAACCTGTTGTATCGTAGGTGTCTGGGACCTGTTGTATGGTAGGTGTCTGGGATCTGTTGTATGGTAGATGTCTGAGACCTTTTGTGTCGTAGGTGTCTGGGACCTGTTGTATCGTGGGTGTCTGAGACCTGTTGTATCGTAGGTGTCTAGGATCTGTTGTATGGTAGATGTCTGGGATCTGTTGTATGGTAGGAGTCTGGGATCTGTTGTATGGTAGGTGTCTGAGACCTGTTGTATGGTAGGTATCTAGGACCTGTATATATTGTATGGTAGGTGTCTGAGACCTGTTGTATGGTAGATGGCTGGGATCTGTTGTATGGTAGGTGTCTGGGATCTGTTGTATCGTAGGTGTCTGGGACCTGTTGTATCGTAGGTGTCTAAGATCTGTTGTATGGTAGGTGTCTGAGACCTGTTGTATGGTAGATGGCTGGGATCTGTTGTATGGTAGGTGTCTGAGACCTGTTGTATGGTAGTTGTCTGGGACCTGTTGTATGGTAGGTGGCTGGGACCTGTTGTATGGTAGGTGTCTGGGACCTGTTGTATTGTAGGTGTCTGAGACCTGTTGTATCGTAGGTGTCTAGGATCTGTTGTATGGGAGATGTCTGAGACCTGTTGTGTCGTAGGTGTCTGGGACCTGTTGTACCGTAGGTGTCTAGGATCTGTTGTATGGTAGGTGTCGAGGATCTGTTGTATGGTAGATGTCTGGGATCTGTTGTATGGTAGATGTCTGAGACCTGTTGTGACGTAGGTGTCTGGGACCTGTTGTATCGTAGGTGTCTGAGACCTGTTGTATCGTAGGGGTCTGGGATCTGTTGTATGGTAGGTGTCTAGGATCTGTTGTAAGGTAGATGTCTGGGATCTGTTGTATGGTAGGTGTCTGAGACCTGTTGTATCGTACGTGTCTGGGACCTGTTGTATGGTAGGTGTCTGATACCTAATGTATCGTAGGTGTCTGAGACCTGTTGTATGGTAGGGGTCTGGGACCTGTTGTATGGTAGATGTCTGGGACCTGTTGTATGGTAGGTGTCTGGGACCTGTTGTATTGTAGGTGTCTGAGACCTGTTGTATCGTAGGTGTCTAGGATCTGTTGTATGGCAGATGTCTGGGATCTGTTGTATGGTAGGTGTCTGAGTCCTGTTGTATGGTAGGTGTCTAAGATCTGTTGTATGGTAGTTGTCTGAGACCTGTTGTATGGTAGATGTCTGGGATCTGTTGTATGGTAGGTGTCTAAGATCTGTTGTATGGTAGATGTCTGGGATCTGTTGTTTGGGTGGTGTCTAGGCTCTGTTGTATGGTAGGTGTCTGAGACCTGTTGTATCGTAGGGGTCTGGGATCTGTTGTATGGTAGGTGTCTGAGTCCTGTTGTATGGTAGGTGTCTAAGATCTGTTGTATGGTAGTTGTCTGAGACCTGTTGTATGGTAGATGTCTGGGATCTGTTGTATGGTAGGTGTCTAGGATCTGTTGTATGGTAGATGTCTGAGACCTGTTGTGTCGTAGGTGTCTGGGACCTGTTGTATCGTAGGTGTCTGAGACCTGTTGTATCGTAGGTGTCTGGGACCTGTTGTATGGTAGGTGTCTGAGACCTAATGTATCGTAGGTGTCTGAGACCTGTTGTATGGTAGGTGTCTGGGACCTGTTGTATGGGAGATGTCTGGGATCTGTTGTATGGTAGGTGTCTGGGACCTGTTGTATTGTAGATGTCTGGGATCTGTTGTATGGTAGGTGTCTAGGATCTGTTGTATGGTAGGTGTCCAAGACCTGCCTTCATTGAGATACCCAAGGAAGACTGGTTTTGTGACTTGTATAGTAGGTGTCTGGGACCTGTTGTATGGTAGATGTGTGGGACCTGTTGTATGGTAGATGTCTGGGACCTGTTGTATGGTAGATGTCTGGGATCTGTTGTATGGTAGATGTCTGGGGCCTGTTGTATGGTAGATGTCTGGGCCCTGTTGTATCGTAGGTGTCTGAGACCTGTTGTATGGTAGGTATCTAGGACCTGTATATATATTGGTTTAATTTCCATTGGAAGTAATTGGATTTGTGTTAGCATTATCAGTATTGGATAGCAGTTTGATGGTATGCACATATCAGCCCTGACTGACCCCCCGGGGCTGATTGGTGGATCCAAAACTGGTCAAATTGACTGAAATTTAAAAAATCTTCTTCTCAAAACCACAGATATGGGAGAATCAAATACTCTTCTTTATCTATTATGGTCTATATTGGCAAACGATACTTAGGATATTACATATTGATAACTTGATTGGAATTATAACCCTGAGTTGACAGTTTGATACTTTGAAAACTTTGAGCCAACCCTACCCCCAAGGGGCTGTAGGGTGCACGTGGGGCCCAAAGGAGTCAGTGTGCTAAAATTTCTTCATTTTCCTTGTTTAGAATCAGAGGTGCTAGTTTCAAATACTTTCCAGTATGCTATATGTATGCTAGATATTGAATAAGGTGGTTTTATTGTTTATTGTCAATTAAATAAAATTTCTGTATCAACTCTCTGTATAAATATATCAGAAATCAGGTGACCGTTAAGGCCAATGGGCCTCTTGTACTCATTAGAAGTGTTCTTGTCAAATTGATCAAATAAAGCTGTATACAAAATATGTGTTCTTTTTTCCAAAATTCTAGCCACAGAACCAGAGAAGAAAGTCCCGAGTGTACAACATTGATTATGATGAAGTAAGTGAATAGATATACAATGTACCAGTTATTATTATTTGACCGCAAATCAGACCAGCTACTTTCAAGGTCACCAGCATCTAGTATGTAAAAACATTTTTAAAAAATCCTTCTACATAACCAGGAGGGCCTGGGTGAGGATATTTTACCCAGTAGCTTGCTGGGATAGAAAAAAAAATCTTCAAAAAGATTCATCAGTTGGTTTATCTTATTGTGATTAGAGAAATTCATGCGGGTATATGTCATATATCATGACGTAGATAATACAGTGGAAATCATCAGAGATTACAGTTTTTTGGCTACACACAGAAATGTGCATTAAGGAAAATTAAGATGTACTTGTAATTTATAATTTCACTGTGGGGAGTTAATGTTTAAATTACTATAATATTGTCTGATTATTTGACTGGGTGATGCAGTGGATAGTGCACTTGCCTTTCACCAAGGCGACCGGGTTTGATTCCCCGATCAGTTGTGAAAAGGTATGGGGGTACATACCTGACCATGTCGGTACTCCGGATTCCTCCCACATTACGACCCTACACACGCTAACATCCGGGCCAACAAGAGTGATTAATATAACATGTAAAAACTTGTTTCATAATTGGTGTTAAAAAAAAAAAAAAAAATGTACATGTGAGCCTCGGAGTGGCTTTTGTTAGGATACATCAAGTTACTGTTCTTATAACAACAGAGACGGAAGGATAGAAATGACGAATACACTAGTGACTCCAACGACTCGTTGTCAGGGGAGATAGAACACGAGGAGAACTGTGCTGAGTGTGGTGGGGACGAAGGTCTGATCTTCTGTGCCGAGTGTCCTACAGCCTACCACTTGGAGTGCCATGACCCACCACTACGACATCCTCCAAGGTACACATCAATACTGTCTACATATATATATATGTTAAACTTGGAGAAGCTGCCGTTTACAAAAACTAGAACATCAGCTGTGTTCAGCTTGTTGGTGAGAGGAAATTGACAAATGCAAAAAAAAAATAGCTACATTTAATAAATTGGATGAATTCGGGCATGTTTATGAGTTATGGCCCTTTGTTGGAACATCCTTGTCCTGACAACTTCTCCTAAACTACTGGGCCGATTTCAATGATAGTTGACAGATATGGTAACAACCCCATGATGTTGTGCATCCAAGTAGTATTTTTACATTCCGACCCTTTTTTTAAGGAGTTATGGCCCTTTGTTGAAGAAAACTTTGTTCACCTCCTAAACTAATGGGCCAATTTCAATAAAAGTTTAACAGATATGGTAATTAAACTCTGTTGTTGTGCATCTTTGTATTTTATTTTATTTTTTCATTCAATCTAATTTTACAGAGTTATGGCTCTTTGTTGAAAAACCCTTGTCCGAATAACTCTTCCTAAACTATTGAGCTAATTTCAACAAAATTTCACAGATATGATAGCTACCCCTTCATCATGTAGTTGTGCACTTCCTATTTATTATATCATTTGATTCATTTTCATTTAGGATCACTTTTTACGGGGTTTTATTCCTTTGGGTGCAGATGGGTGTGGCTCGATAAGTTAAATAGAAATAAATCTTAAAATCCTTCTTGTTCGATACAGAAGGATCTTAACCAAATTTGATACAGAGTATCCTTGGCCCAATAGGATTGAATGTTTTATAAACCATGTCCCCAACCCAATAGGCACAGAGGGATGGAACCCAATAATGTAAGGGTGTTGCTGAGAGACAGAGCCAATATTTGGAAACATTTGCAGTATAATATTTTGTGAGAATACTTTGCCATGACTGCTTAAATATTCCGTTGAGCAATACAGGCCCTCTGGGTCTCTTGTTTATGTCCCACACCGTGAGACTTTATCGGAGGTTTTGCCTCACACCGTGAAATCTGGCATGTTATGAATTAAATTCATTACTGCAATATTTTTTTCCAGGGGAAGATGGATTTGCACAGAATGTAAAACTGGGGTGAAGAGAAATTCAAGGTCAAGGTCGAAGCGAAAAGTTGCCAAGAAATCTGGAAGAGGTAAAAATAGAAATAACTTATGTAATGTTACCAGAAATAGCATACTGTTACATCACAGATTCATACATGTAGTAAAGTTTCTTATATTTGAGGGAAATGTGATGTTTCATTGAAGAGCATTACCCCTCCTCCACCCAAAAAGGGAAAATGGGGGATAATCTTTTTAATAACTTTCTTAATGGACCTCAAATTTAGAGTTAATGAAAAAGGAAAAAAAACTGAAAATGTCAATCAGACAAATATTCAAGATGACTAGTACACCGCTGTTTTTTGTTAGGTTTTTTAGTGTGTTTACAGTCATAGTGTATTAGACCATGCACCTTTACTAGGTCAAATACGGTATATTGCTTTATATTAAAATAATTTTGATGAACGAAAATGATAATTGTTCGGTTTGATATTTGAGAGAAAATAGTTAACAATAATGCTTTTCTGTTGTCCAGCTGCTCCAAAAAGGAAAAAATATGCTGAATCATCAGATGAGAGTGAGGAAGAGGAGGAAGAAGAAGTTGATAGTGAGGAGGCGGAGGAGGAAGAGGAAGAAGAGGCACCAAAGAAAAGTGGTCGTAGAGTACAACAGAAGTCTGGGCCAGGGAGGAAACCAGGCTCAACTAACAAAAAGGAGAAATCACGCTCCTCAACTGGCAGTAACTCAAGTCTCAATGACAGCAGAACATACACATCTAGACGGGCACCATCAGAACTCTCTGTAAGTGTAACTTTTCATCCCACAGCAAAGTTGGTATACTGGAATCACCCTGTCTGCATGTCTGTCATCCACAAACCTTGTCCAGGCAACTCCTCTTAAACTTGTGCACTGATCTCGACAAAACTTGACAGATATCTTAACTACCCCTTGATGTTGTGCATCAAGGTTTTTTTTGTTTTTTTCATTCCACACCCCTTTGTTGAGAAATCCTTGTCCGAACAACTCCTCAAAAAGTCATGGAACAATATCAATAAAAGTTTCAATATATGATAGCTACCCCAGGCCCCTGATGTTTGGATCCAGATACTATTTTTTCATCCTGACCCTTTTTATATGCCCGTCAAATTTGATGGTATGAGGTTGTACGTTCGTCGTAAACTTTTGTTTGTCCAGCAATCCCCTCCTACATTTTTCAACAGATCTCTTTTAAACTTGGTATACATTATAATCATGATATGAAGTTGTGTCTCCGTTAATAGAATTTTGATTCGACAGTTTTTCCAAAAGTTAATGCCCTTTGTTCATATCAGTATTTAATTTTTTGTCCGGAGATTTCCTACATTTTTTGACGGTTTCTTTGAAACTTAGTAGGCTTAATAATCATGATATGTTGTTGTGTTTCCTTGAAAAGAAATTTGATTCCACAATTTTTGCAATAGTTATTGCCCTTTGTTTATTCCAGTATTTGATTTTTGTCCGGCAATCTCCTCCTACATTTTTCAACGGATCTTTATGAAACTTGGTATACATCATGATCATGATATAAGGTTGTGTCTCCCTTAAAAGAATTTTGATTCAACAATTTTTGTTGAAGTAATTTTCTTTTGTTCATTTCAGTATTTAAATTTTTTTCCGGAGATTTTCTCCTACATTTTTAGCTCACTTGGTCCGAAGGACCATGGTGAGATTATGCCATACCGCATCGTCAGTTGTCCGTCCGTCTGTCCGTCCGTCAACTTTTCCTTTAAAACGCTACTAGTCATGAACGACTGAGCAGATTTTGACTAAATTTGGTCAGAAGCATCCTTGGGGGAAGGGGAACAAATGATGTATAAATGGTTGGTGGGGGCTGATGTCGGGGCCCAATAGGGGAAATATAGCAAATTCTTTAAAATCCTTCTACTGAAGGAATGAAAGGATTTTTTCCATATTAGGTCTAAGGCATCCTTGGGTGAAGGGAAACCAATTTTGTATAAACTGTGGGTCTGGCCCCCCAGGGGCCTGAGGGACGGGGCCCAATAGGGGAAACATAGCAAATTCTTTAAAATCCTTCTTTTTCTGTAGGAATGAAAGCATTTGGTCTGAAGCATTTTTAGGTGAAGGGAAACTAATTTTGTATGAACGGTGGGTGTGGCCCCCCTGGGGGCGTAGGAAATATAGCAAATTCTTTAAAATCCTTCTTCTTCTGTAGGAATGAAAGGATTTGTTCCATATTTGGTCTGAAGCATCCTTGGGTGAAGGGGAACCAATTTTGTATAAACCATGGGTCTAGCCCCCCAGGGGCCTGAGGGTTGGGGCCCAGTAGGGGAAACACAGCAAATTATTCTTTAAAATCCTTCTTCTTATGTAGGAATGAAAGGATTTGGTCCATATTTGGTGTGGAGCATCCTTGGGTAAAGGGGAAATAATTTTGTATAAACGTTGGGTCTGACCCTTCTGGAGGCAGAGATGCGGGGCCCAATAGGGGAAATAGAAAATTCTTCTTTTACCATATGGATTCAGGGATTTTATCCTAATTTAGTCTGAAGCATCCTTGGGCCAAGGGGACTCAATTTTGTATAAGCATTGGGTGTGGTCTCCCAGGGGGCAGAAAGGCAGGGCCCAATAGGAAAAATAGAGGTAAAACCTTTAAAATCCTTCGACCATTGGGATTAAGGGATTTTATCCTTATTTAGTCTGGAGCATCCTTGGGCGCAGGGGACTCAATTTTCTATAAACGGTGGGTATGACCCCCCCTAGGGGCATAGGGGTGGGGCTCTGTTTGAAGTTTGTTCTCTATATCTCAAGTACTGGATGGATCTTTCTGAAATTTCATATGTACTTTACAGCACCTACCATGGATACTCCCATAACATGAGAGGCCGCTGGTCGGCCTTTTTTCAATCGGATATGGTTACGCGGCGCCTGTCAAAAGTTTTTCGCCGTGTAAAACCTCTAACATTGTTGGAGTACTACCATGGAGTGCTATATCTATACTTTGTTCCAATCATTTTAAACATATTCAAGTGAGCGATACAGGCCCTCTGTGCCTCTTGTTTATAGCATGTCGGCTAACCACTCTTAGAATGATGCAGATCTTATTTCAATGTAAGAAAGTATACAAGGATTTTCCTACAATAGAATTTGGGGCCGAATAACCTGAAAACCTTGCTAAAATTCCCAATTTGCTGTTGAAATTCCCAATCAAATTCCCATTTCTGCAAGATTTAATTATGCTCAGTGTGGAGAGAGAAGCTGTAAAACATTCATGTCTGTAAGAAAAGTAAAAATATGTTTTAATCCCTCGACAATTAAATTACAAAAGTAAACATCAGAATGTTGGTAGATATTTTTGTCTAGCCTGCGTGATTAAAGTTGGAGTAAAATAACTTAACAGTTTTACTCGAGAAAGTGATATTAACCATCAACGATGCAATCTTTGTTACTAATTCAGTATCTTTTATTTAACAAAAGAATCTTGGTAAAGAACTGAAGTTTATCTGTCCAAAAAATTGGCAGTGTGATAAACATGGTGTCGGCCATGTTTGTTTTCTAATAAGGGAACCAACATCCGGGCACAGAATCCTGAAATGATCAATTTATTTGTCTGTTCAATTTCATTTATTACTGTATTTTCTTTTTTTACATTTAAATAGGTTTAGGTAAATAAATAGCTTAAAAATTAAATTAAAGTTTTCGTTTTAAAGGAAATGGACAATTATTACAACTACCGTATATATTTGATATACCAAATAATAAAAAATACATTAGTAAAAATACATTCTGCCATTTCTGGCTATCCAAATTTTTTACAACCCTATACTAAATGTCCTACAGTTTAACTGTACGCTAGACATAAGCTTATGCATTGAAAAATAAATAAGAAATTCCAATATTAAAGAATGCTATTTCTCATGATAAGAAGTAGAATTTATTAACAGAAACTGGAAAATGTATGTAATTTTATTTTCCCTCATTTACCCCAATTCATTGGACCCTGGACCCAGAAAAAAAAAGAAATACTGGGCCAATTTCACTAAAAAATTGACATATATGGTCATTTCCCTCTGACATTGAGCATGCAAGTAGTATTTTTTCATTCCAACAGATTGACTTCAGTCCAACTGAACATTTTTTTCATATTTTTGTTTTTATTTATTTATCACCTAAAAGTACAAGCACACTATACACGACTGTGCACCATAGACAAATATTTGATCAAGTGATATTCATGGTTTGATGGATAGGTTAATCATTTCATGTTCCACAATATTCACAGTGAGAATGTTCTGTTGACAGTGACTGTGCACCATAGACAAATATTTGATCAAGTGATATTCATGGTTTGATGGATAGGTTAATCATTTCATGTTCCACAATATTCACAGTGA